TTATAGATTTTATTTGTACAAAAATAGTCTGACAAGTATAATAAGATTAGATATGAATTAATATAAATAAATTTTAAATTATCTCTTACTCTTTCTCTTCCTCTTGAATCGCGTGCGATTTCTGTGAGCTTTTTATTTTTTCTTAATTAGTTTTATCATTAATATTATTAATAAAAGAGAGTTCATGTTTTGAAGAACATAATAAAATTGTTGTATCTATGTAAATAGGTGATCGATCATGTTTCTCGAAGGACGGATTGAGAGTCAACTGGGAATTTCCATTTCCGTTTCCCGTAGGAAACATTTCACCTTGAAGTAACGATCGCTAGATCGTTCATAAGCAATTTCCAAGTTGAAATTTCCTTCTCTCTCTCTATTTCTCTCATACGTTCGTTATTTCTGCTTTTTCCTTTCTCTCTTTTCCACTTGGAATTCGATTATAGAGAATTTTTTTACGTTCGTACATTTTATAATAGATCCGAAACAATCATCGGAAAAAAATCTTGCAGGGTAAATCGTGCCAATTTTTGTTGTTATTGTTTGCTAAACAACTCCCTTTCCCTGAAACACCATTCTATGACATAACAGGAAATTTCTCTGCAATTCCATTCCATTCCATACCGTTCCATGTCGTACCATGTCCTGTCCTATCCTGAGAGTGACTCAACACAATTTTCATCGAAATGATTGAAAATCCTGTAGTTTCGAATTTCTTTTTGCTAAGATAAGATAAGATAAATTAAGTTAATAAGAATTTATTTACAAAAATTGTTTATAATAAATTGTTAATTAATTATTAACAATACATTGAGAATGTGAAAAGAATTCTGCCCTTTAAAATGATATTTATTTCAAGCCTTTAAGAATTTTACTTTCGGAGATATTCTCATATAAATGAAAAATTATTTCTTCGTTAAATAAATAATTTGTTTATTAACAATTTATTAATTTATGTAATTTTATAAATCTTTGAATATTTTTTTTTTTTTGACAAAATAAGATCAATTTAATTCGTAAGTATTTGTTTATAACAAATTGTTAATTAATTATTTACAATAAGTCGAAAAAATAGAGAAAATTTTGCCCTTTAAAATGATATTGGTTTCAATTCTCTATGACTTTTAATTTTGGAAATATTCCCATTTAAATAAAAAAGATTTATTACGTTGATACACTAACTTACATAATTTCATTCATATTAGCGTGATGCCACCTTGACCTACATAAATTTCGAAAATTTACGCACCCTAAGTGATCGAATTACTACTACTGTATTATTACTACGAACAGCTGTACTATAAAAATTATGAATGGAAAGCTTTAAAAGGCGATATCTTCGAAACTAAAAGTCGTAGAGACTTGAAACATATTTTCAAGTGTAATATATTCTTTATTAATTTAAATAATGTAATAATATTGTTATAATAAAGTCGATTTTGTAAATAATTTCTGAAATAGAATTTTTTTTTTTTCTTCTTTTTCATTATTCGTAATAAGTACATAATTACGATTAATTCTAATTTTAATTTTTATTATAATTATATAAATTTTATTTTATTTATTTATATAAAATTAAGGGATAAAAAAAGATCTATTAATAGTCGCCATTGTACATTGAAATTTGAAACAAACTCTTATACAAGATATACATATACGATAAAAACTTCGAGATAAAAATTAGATCATAGAGAATTAAAAAAAAAAAATATATATATATATCTATCTATAATATTCTCTTGTTCTTCCATCGACACTTTTATCACATCAACAAATTCACTTCTTCTTTCTCTCTCTTTTTCTTTCGTCAGTATGACAAAGATAAGACTATGTCAGCGTATCGTTTTACGGATAATGGTCGATGCAAGGGTCAGCTTCTTGGTTTTAACCCATATCGACTTCGACGCTGTTAAGATGTGAAAAAAGAGAATTCGGCTTACCTTACGTTTCTTGATGAAAGAAAGAGAACTAAATAAAGAAAAAAAATACGAGAAAGAAATATAGAGAAACTTCTATTCTTAAAGTTGCAAGAAAATTCGTTGCACGCTCTTTCACTGTTACATTGGAAGTACAACATAATAGTATTTTCTACTTGGTGCAATTTTCTTCTCGACCTCGTTTTCTATTTTTTTTCTCTTTTTTTTTTTTTATTTTTTTTTATTTTTTTATTTTTTTTTTTATTAATTCTCTTTCATTTTTCTCACTTCTTTTACTTTTTAGATTGCTAAACTATAGGAACTTAGGAATTTTTTTATAATCTGATATGAAAATGGGCCAACTAATATTTATGGATATTAATATTCGATTTCTTAGAAATAGATTCATTAACACATACATACACACACATATATATATATATATATATATATTGTTTAAATTAATGATAAAAGTATATAATCTTTAAAATAAATTAAAAAACAAAGATATTTATAATTAATTCAAATTAATTAACCTAATTCGAAGATCTTAAGAAACTATTATCGACCTAGAACGATTCTTGTTCTTATTAATGCTAAAATTTATTATTCTATTTCTCGTAAGAAAAAAATATAATAAAATAAGTTGAGAAGTTGTTGTACCGATAGTTATATCATTAAGAGGAGTAGAAAGTGATACATATAGAAAATTAGGGATGAGAAACATATGCAAGAACGAATTTTATTACATACATACGTACCTAACTTTAGTTTCTTTTAAAGAGGCACCTGCTAGAGATAGATATAAGGCTTACTTCTTAATTGGCCCGAATGATAATTATTCTACTTCTTCGTCTCTTTTTTCTTTTTCTTTTATCTTTGCCTTTTCCACTGTCGAAGATTCTAACAGCTCGTTCGAAAGTCACCGAAGAAATCCAATTAACGACCGAACGGAAAGTTATGCCTCGAACAGATTGAATTTTAGCCAATAGGTATAGTTCGCGATCTTTATCTCTATATCTTCTTTTTCTCTTTCTTCATCTTTAATATTTTCTCCATTTTTTTTCCCTTCATTTTTCTTTTTCTGCACTTCTGAACCTTCCATAATTTCCAACACCTCCTAATTAGTTTTCATTCTATCTTCATTAAAATCATCGTTTTTATGTAGAATAAATTAGAGTAAATGTTCGTATATCTCAAATATCTACACTATTTTTCACGATGTTATAACAATGTTTTATATTATCGTTGAATCTATTTTTTTTTTTATACTATATGACGTTGTAATAATAATGATAAAAATATATTTAAAAAAAAAGGTACCAATCACTCTGAAAAAAAATATCAAATCTTGATAATTACGATAGTAAAAAAGAAACAATTTAACAACTTAATTAAGATTATTGTTCTCTTTGGATGGTAGAATTTTTTTCTCTTATATATATATATATTATATTTTTTTTTGTTGTATCTCTGAAAATAGTAAAAGTATTTGAGGCATTAAAGTTATCGCTGAGTCACTCTATAATAGGGAACTTTTTAAGCGAACGTCATTTCCGGTTTGCCGAACTTGCAGAAAAGCTTTTCTGAAAATTCGTAATTCACGTCTATGTAAATTTCGACTTTACTCGATAGATCATTCGATCGATCAAAAAACGATCGATCGGTCGATTCATTCGTCCATCGCGAGAGAAACTTTGCACATGAAACGTTACGTTAATCGAGGGACTTGGCTTAAGGGACTCGATTAAAGGCACTGAAGCGACAAAGAGCAACCTAGTTATTCGCTCCTTTAATATCTCTTCCCGGTGAGTAATTAAAAGCACGGGATAGAGAAAAGTTTCGGAAAGTTTTTTATGCGAGCCAGCGGAAAAGCTCTTCATCGATATTTCCGTTGTTGTCGTCTTGTATACATGGATTTTCCAGGCTAAAAGAAGAATTCAGGGTGTTTTATTAAATCCCCATTTTTAACTTTTCAAAATTTCCTACATAGATATTTTCATCACAATAATAGTGGAATTTTTTGTTAAAACTATTTATATCTTTTACTTTTCTTTTTCTTTTACCTTTTTTTCTTTAATATTACAAATTAAATTTCTAGGGGAAATTATTCAATCAAAAAAAAAAAAAAAAAAAAAAAAACGAAGAAATGAAAGTAACATTGGATTAACTAATAAATAGATATGTATAAATTACATATATACAATAATAAATTACAATATTTCTGATGTTTTACTTAAAATTATTTGCATATTTATTCTTAAAGAATTTACTTTTCTTTTTCTCTTTCTCAATCAATGAACTTCTAAATGAACAAATATTTGAATATGTTCAATAATGATTGAATAAAAGTATAATAACATCAAAGTCGTACCTTTTACATATATATAATATAATCGATGATATAAAAGTAGTAGACGAAATGGCTGACTGAGTTGATTGTAACGTATCTTCTTCCTCGTTCGTGGCATAGTTATATCGAATTCCGATATCTTTTTTATTGAAACGAGAGCTTTAGCCAAGCACCGTTCATAGTATTTAATCATTAGACTTTATTCTTCCTTTGACATATTATCTACGCATATATGCATGTATATATAGGATAAAAGAACCAAAAGTTTCTAGATGATTTTAAAAATCAATTTACTCTTTTTTCGAGATTTTTAGAGGCTAATTTTTTCTTTTTTTTTTTTTTCAAATTATGTAACTACAAACCTAATTACAAGTCTAATAGATCTCGAAAAAAAAAAATAATTGATTTTTAATATCACTCCTTAGAACCTTAACTCATATAAGAGATTTTGACTCATTTTGACTCACGATATATATCGATAAAGCAAGTTCTTCTGGATTTTGATAAAAGCTCGAAACATGTTGAACATCCGTCTATGTTATAAATATTCCAACGTATATATATATATACGCACATACACACACTATAAACGACAATCATGTTATTAAAATGTCTGTTAATTTTATTATAGCATGTCAGACATGTTTCCGTGTAATTTTATTCTCTTTACTACTGTGATATATACGTAGATTAAGAAAGAAAATAAAAGGCAATTTTGTTAATTGCATTTTCAGTGGAGTCAATCAAAGATGCTTAAAATGAGCCTGATGCAAAATAATCTACTATCATACATGATGATCCTCTACTTCCTTTTTGTGAGTGAGGCTTATCAGAGGAAGGATGGCAGCAAGGATGGTTCGAAATTGATAAGGATTAATGGCGATATCATTCTTGGAGGAATTTTTCCTATGCACGAACAGGTATATTGGATAAAAATTTATTTCGTTATCACTTATGTATATATGTACATACATAAAGTAAATGTTTCTTTCTTTTTTTCTGATATATTAAAAAATACAATAATAATGTTTAATATCATTGAATTTTTTTAAGCTATAATTCAATGATATTAGAAATATATGATTTTATTAAAAAAAAAAAAAAAAAAAAGAAAAAATGGAAATGAAATTTTCACTTAAAATTTATTATTAATCGATCTCGAAAAAATATGTTATTTTAATGGACACATTTGCCATTTAAAAGATAATAATTTTTCTCTTCAATATTTTTATCCTATCTTGAAAAAAACAATGAAAATACTTTAGTTATTAACACTGACTGACTCCACCTTGTATAATTGAAATATCATTATCGTATGTATTTGAAATCGTTTTCGACGAGTTTCTCTACAAAGTTCAATAAACGATTTCGATAGAATCGATACGTTCAAGAGCACAATCGTATTTGCTGCTAGCTCACGCTTGTATTAATTTACAATACGCTGTTATCAATAACCTATAGGAATGTTCTAGAAAGAGAGAGTAATAGAAATAGAAATAGAGAGAGAGAGAGAGAGAGAGAGAGAGAGAAAGTTTACTATTCAGTTGATATCATGATAGAGAGATCGTATATCAGGAGAAAGAGAAAGACGATTGGAATGGTTTCTAACATCGATCTTTGTTCATTTTAACAAATCATTCTATTTATCTAGGTTGTGTTTTACTTTATCAACTAAGAGAGAGGATTTCGCTCTGGTTTAAAAAACTTTTGTTAGTTCTTCTCAACTCTTGACCATCTCGTACCCTTTTTCTCGAACTTTCTCTTCAAGTTTATTTCTTTTGAAGTATGTGCTTGCCACGTTAGTTTTTCTCATTTTCAAACAAACATCTTTTCCTTCTCGTTGGACGATGTTTTAATTTTCTTTTTTTTTTTCTTTTGCAAATCACATTTATTACATTGATTTTTTTTTATTTGTTTTTCTTTTTTGATTGTATTGACATTTTATTATTATTAAAATTATTATATGTTTTTTCTTTTTTCTTTTTTTATAAATTCTTTAAAAAACGTGCGAACGTGTGAGATGGAAATTTGTGGAAATTAAATAAACAGTAGTAAAGTGAGGTAGTTTCAATGTTTTATTATTTTTCTATATTGTTATAAATTTTAAAAGAGGATTACTTTAATTTTTGCATTTATTAAAACATATTTACATTTGTTTCAGATATGGGTAAGATCACGTGGTGCTGGTACAATCGGTGAATCACCTTGCGGTGCAGTAAAGGAAGAAAAAGGTGTACAGCGATTAGAAGCAATGTTATACGCATTAGACGAGATTAATGGTGATCAAGAGCTTCTACCAAACACTACATTGGGTGCATTGATATTAGATTCATGTAGCAGCGAGACGTATGCTCTTGATCAGAGTATGGAATTCATGAGATCTTATATGAACCAGGTAAATTGATTTTTTTATTTTCTAATTCCTTTTTAACTAAAGACTTTTTCATTTATTTGAAAAAGGATATATTAAAAAGAAAAATAGAAAAGAAAAAGTATAATGTACAGAATAGGCCCAAAAATTTCTAAGTGATTTCAAATATTAATTATGCTTTATGCTGGGGTTAATATTTTTTTTTTTTTTTATATGTATATATATATATATATATATATATATATATATATATATATATTGTAAAGTTACAAAGCTGGTTTGTATAATTACCAAATTAATTACAAGTTTAATAAGTCTCGATAAAAAATAATTGATTTTTAAAATTAACTACCTTTGACCTCAACCTGTATAATCAATAATATAATAGGCATTTGGAGAGTCGCTTTGAAGTAAAACTCTAGGAAGGATAATAGAAAAGGATCTAATACGCTTTGTTAGAATTATATCGAGCCATTGAGTTTCTCTCTCACTCTTTCTCTTTCTCTCTCTCTCTCTCTCTTTCGTAATAGTGATAGTAGTTTACACGAACGAAGTAGAACGAACACACAACTGATCAGGATCAAGCACGATAAAAGTTTAGTAGACTAACCGTCGATCTCGATTGGATAAGCTTCTGGTATTTCGGTGAAATTTTCTCTTCGGAAGCCCCCAAAGGACTTTATGTATTCAACCATCTACCACAATACCTACCAACCAACCAACCAACCAACCAATTCTCAATTTCACGGGACACGAAGCAGAAGGCGTTACTCATCCTGATTGGTCGAACACCTCGAATGATCGAATTCCGCGTGCCATGAATTGATGTCTGTTTTCTTACTTGCACAACCCATATATATATATATATATATATATATATGTGTGTGTAATGAGATTTTTATCGAGAAAGGAAAATATAATTGTTTATATAGGTTTATTTCCTTTTTTTTTCTTTTTATTTTTTATCCTAATAGTATTAAAATATATATAGTATACAATATAATATCAGTATAATAGTAATGATATGTCAGGGCGAGCATCTGCGAAATTTTCTAAGTATAAAGTAATCTAATAAGAAAAAGTAGCAGTTTATTATCCCGTAAAGTTTGCATTGCATCAGCATGAAGTTGAGCTGGTCTTAGAAGGATGAGCTTGGTAATAAAGGAGAGTAAGCACAGTGCATGCTTGTAATGCTTGCGTTTAATTAGCTTCCTTGATAATACTATCTCGTTCTATCCTTCTCCTTTCTCTCTCTCTCTCTCTCTCTCTCTCTTTGTGTCTTCAAATAGATGCCAGCAACAGCAATGGCTGTTTCTATCTATGCGTTATGCATTCGAAACTTAAGGAAACTTGCTGTGACATTTGTCCTTTAATGAATTCATTCAAACAAAAGCTTCCAACGAGAGAACTTCTAAAATATATTTTTTTTAATTTCAAAATTCCTCTCTTTCTTTTATTTTCTATTGCTTAAATTATCCCGATATTTCTATTCTGTTTATTTTATCATTTTCGATGATCACTAGAGAATCGATATTATCGATAATTCGTCGAATCGAACCGAACCGCAGGCATATTCTCGCACGAAATTGAAAATTTAATGATCACCCATCATCGGTCCGTCGGTTCCTCCCTGCACCCTCCCCCACATGCCATCCACCCATGATTCCAATGACCTCCCCCCTCCTTGTCCCTTAGACTCTATTATTACAGTGTATATTTTTAATACGCATACTATCACAAATGTGCCAGCGTTAATTTGTCGAGACTGGTCATCGAACATTCTAACTGGCTCATCTGCTAACTAAATGGTAAATGCACACAACGTTCATAGCAATTTCATATGCTATATGGATTATTTGCTTTATGCGTGTATGAATTCTCATTGACCAGGTAACTCAAATTTGTCCGCTTTGATTTAAATGGTCTCTATGGAATATGTCAAATATGGATTGCATTTGAGAATTTCTAGGGGTTTGCTTTCATTTCGAGATATTAACTTGAGTATAGTATTTATGATAATTAAGGGAAATTATAATCGTTACTATATAGTTCCCTTCTTATTAGATTTATTATTACTATTATTATTATTATTATTATTATAATTATAATAATTATTATTATTATTATTATTATTATTGTTATTGAAATAGAAAAGAATAATTATAAATATTTTGTTTTATCAGCAATATTAAGATAATAATAATATTATGAGAGTATCAGTATAAATTGATATAGTTTTAATGATTACTATGATTATCAGTATATTAATAATATTCTAGCAATAATATTGTTATTATTTATCTATATATATATATAATATTAATATAAATCATTATAATATAATAATATCATACTAGTATCATAGAATCAACATAATTCTTTATAATAATAATAATAATAACAATAATATGCTAATATATCATCAAAATATATTAATCATAAATTTCATATTTTTGTTTTTCTCGTAACTTTTATATTAACTTTCATTATCTTTTTTTTATTTTTTTATTTTCATTAATATAGCTGAGTCGTCGAAATTTTCTTTTACATTACAAATTTTTTTCTTTCCTTTCTCTTTTTTTTGCTCTTCTTGTTGAAGAAAACTTTGTAATTTTATCTTTCTCTGGCAGATTATTCCTTTTTTCTTTTTTTTTATTTTCCATTAAAGAACTACAGTGTAACATATCAGATTTATGCAAACTGGTTGAATATTTTTTGCAGAATACGTTATTAATTTCTTTCGCATATTTTGTCGTTTTTCATTCTCTCCTATCTTCTACATCGTGCTTCCTGTTTCAAGGAAAACGATCGTGTTGCGTGTTATCTCGTGAAGATTTACGAGGATTTAACGATCTCGTCTAAATCCGTAAAAATTTCATTTTGACATTATGAAATTTCATAGTTTAACTTTTGCTTTTTTTCTTTTCGTCGTTCAGATTAATGTTTTTACAAATTGAATTTAAAGATTATTTATTTATTTATTTATTTATTTTTTTTTTACTATCACTGAATTAGAACGTACTCCGAGTTTATTTTAAATTGAGTATCACTTTATTACAAGATCGTAGTGCATTCGAAATGGTAGATAGTTTTCCTTTCATCGTGTTTGTATGTGTTAGAAATGACTAAAACGAAAGAATTACGTCATTGTCAACATTGGTGACATGTCTCTGTCTCGGTACTTTCGTTCAAATCGATGCAAACGTATCGATAAAAGCATGTTTGTCTCTACAAACGTACGTAGTAGATAATAGATGGACGTGCACTTGTTTACTCGCTTGTGAAAAGTGTTCAAAGTTATCGAGTACCACAAAATTTTTATCAACCCTTTTTCACGACGATGAAAAATAATCATCTATTAATGTATATGTATGTGTGTGTCTATATATATATATATATATATACAAATTAATTATTTGCAATGAATAATTTCTTCATTTCAATTATTATTATTATTATTATTGGTTTTGGAAATGAAATAAAATTTCAATTATTAGTATTATTCGTCATTGCTAAAACTCGCCTAAATTTCAAATAGAATTTTCGTCAGAAATTTTCTCTCTATTATCTTTTTCTGTCTCTCTTTCTCTCTCTCTCTCTCTCTCTCTCTCTCTCTCTTTCTCTTTCTTTCATCTTATGTATTATTCATTGGATAAAAAGAAAAGAGAAAATCTTATTTCCATTGGATTGCCTCTAATTAAGCATTAGGTGGATGACGAATTAGAATTGGCTTTTCGATCTGTTTGAAATTTCGATTTCGGAGTATCTCGTTGAAGCGTTTTGTTATCAAACGTGATTTAATCACGTTTCTTTAAGATCGATAATAAATGTTTCCTAGTGATTTTCTTTCTCTCCTTGTTTTTTTGTTTCTTTTTTTATTTTTTTTTTTCCTATCTTCTCTCCACGACTTCAATTTTCGAGATCTATATACGTATATATATATATATATATATATATATATATATATATATCTTTGGTCTTATAAGAAATATTGAGGTCAAACACTGTTATTACAGTTCGGATATACGAGAAAAGAATTCTAAAAGTTTTTCGAACTATCGTTGGCATAAAAATTCTTATGTATTTTGTTCTACGTTATTCATCGAATAGTTCTTTTTTTTTTCTTTTTTTTTTCTTTTTTTATTGGGAATGAATATTATTAAAATAGTCGAAAGACGTGATTTAACATTAAAAAAGCAATTTGCTCGTATAAATATTAAATGTTAGAATTACATTGAATATAATTAGGTCACTCGAAATGAAAGGATCTCGTAGCTGCGTAATTATGAAGAATTCTTCTTGTTTGATTTATTGATCCGAGGAAAAGAGAAAAATAAGGATACTCGAGTTCGAAGGATAATTACAGCGAAACATACTGCGAAGTGTACTTCTCGCAAGAAAGACGGAAGCAAAACGCATTTTCCTTTCCACTTTTGCTCGTGTCAGAAGCAATTTCCTAGTGGAGCGCTTTGCTTCCTTCGCAAAAGTGCATGGCTATACCCCTTGAGCATCATAAGGGTCGAGTGTTGTAAGCTTTCAGCAACGACGACGAGACAACGACAATGACGACGACAAGTCCTCTTGGTTTTTTATCCGAGTCAAGAATTTTGTTAACCTCTTTCCTCCCAAAGTCTATTATATTTATTCTATTATTTTATATTTTACAAATAGTCACTTTTAAAAATTATTGTTATATAATATATACACATATAAACAGGAAGATTATTTTAGAGAAAATATTATATTTATTATATTGTTTCAAGAGAAAGAGAGAGAGAGAGAGAGAGAGAGAGAGAGAGAGAAGAGTGTATGTATATGAATCAATTAATTAATAATCATATTTAATTATGGAGAAAAGATCATTGATTAAAAATATAATAATAAGATTGTGATAATTTTAATATTAATGCATAAGTATTATTAATTATATTAAATTTCTAAAATTTGATATCACTTTTTTTTAATAATTAAAAATCGTTCTTGTATTTTTAAGTGGAATACATTCCTGTATATATTATATTATAATAAATCTTATGGCAATCTACGTAAACCTGATTCTATTATTTTTTTTATATGATTTTTTTTTTCTTCATACATATGTAATAGGCAAGAATGAATTATATACCTGTGATGTTTCGCCTGAATGATCGACAAAATCGATCGAGGAGAAACGGAGTGGAAAGATGGTAACTTCTCCATCGGAAATGACTTCGAAGTTTTAATCTAAGTTACGTAAGTGTCATTCAAAGAAAATAAATCCTATACGTTGAATAAAAATGATTGATCATGGTCGTTTTTTCGAAAGATTTCATATTCTATTTTTAACCTTCTTTAGGATCTTGTTCATTATAATAAATAAATAGAATAAAGAATTATATATATATATATATATATATATATATATATTCCTGAGGTTTGAAAAGAAACGTAAAAAAAAAAAATTGAAGGATCATCGAATTCAATTAAATATAATTGAAAGATCATAAATACAGTGGGTCAGGACCTCTCAGTGATTATAGGATTTCAAGCAATCACTGAAGAGTCTGTGATACGTGACAGGATGTAGTTGCATCGAGTAACATAAATAGAAGGTACACTCTATCAAAACTCATCGACAATGCAAACAGATTCAAGTGAATATTAATAAGGGCACTCTTTCATGATTGTATTATGTCTACATATTATATTTTCCAAATGATATATTAAAAAATTGATCAAAAAAAAAGATCGATAAAATTTTCCAAATGATAATAACAAAATTTTCGTTGTTGATTTTTAAAAAGTATATCTTAATATATCTTAAAATATCATGATTATCGAGATTCCATCAATTTTTTTCTATATTTTTATTTGCCCATCTAATCAAACTTTCTTTCAAGGTCAAATATACGAAGAATCCTTTGATTCCTTTTTGATAAAACAGTTTGAAGTTTGAGGTAGTCTTGATCAGTATAAAACAGTGATTTTGAAAAGCTTGCAATAAGGTGAAGTATCAAGCAGATTTACATATTTGAATTTTCAATTTTCCAGTGGTTAATTCGAGGGTAGTGTAGAATTATCGTTCCATGGAAAGCACAGAAATTTCTCTCTCTCTCTCTCTCTCTCTCTCTCTCTCTTTATCTTTCTTTATATATATCTATATATATATATATATATACACAGATACAGTTGGTATTAGTTTTCTCGTTGGCTCGAGGCTAGCTAGGTAGCTAGCTAGCTTGCTGTTATTCGGTTTTAAATATTTCAAGTAACTGGGTAACAACTTTGAAATGTACTTTTAAATGTTCTTTAATTTAATTAGCAATATTCTGAGCTCGTTAGCTTTGGGAAAACATTTGGAGATAAACTTTCCATTTGTGTATATTTCTAAGTTATATAAACTAATGTGATATAATTTTAAGAGAATGTTAATTTGTTTTTATCTTTCTCTGCCTCTCTTTCTCTCTCTCTCTCTCTCTCTCTCTCTCTCTCTCTCTCTCTCTCTCTCTCTCTCTCTCTTTCGCTCTGTTTTTTAATAATAGAGAATTTTTATTGGTGTCTCCTTTCTCTTTTTGTTACAGGACATTTCGGAGTACAAGTGCGAAGATAATAAACCACCTATATACATGCCACATAAACCAGTAACCGGAGTAATAGGAGCATCCTTCAGTGTAGTTTCCATCATGGTCGCTAATATTCTAAGACTTTTCAAGGTAATTTTAATAATAATCAAAAGAATATTGTATACTTTCACGATTATTCTCGTATATTATATCATAATAGCTAATCACGTTTTTGCACCGATCAGAGTTCATTCATTTCTAGAAACGAAGCTGAAATAAGAAAATTAACTTCTAATTATATTCGTTCGATATTATTTCTCTTCTTAAAATTGTTCTTTATTTTAAGAGAGTTTATGTTTTAAAATATATTCCTATCAAACATCCTTTCTTTTTTTCTAATAAACTTTTATATCTTATTTTATATAATATTATTAGATCTCATTAAAAGAATTTAATCTTTTGTTATTATTATTAAATTGTGAAAAGATATTAATTATAATTTTCTAATTTCAAATAAAAATATTATGAAATAAATGATAAATGAAAGATTTGATATTTGATTGTAACGTGAAATAACTCGTGAAATCTTATTTTTCGTTGAAACGAATCATCTCTCGCTCTCTCTCTCTCTTTCTCTCTCTCTCTCTCTCTCTCTCTCTCTCTATCTATCTATCTATCTATCTCTCTTTCATGCGCGCGTACGATTACGTGGCTACTCACGCTGGCCAATATAAGTTTCTAGGAACGAATAGCACAGTGCTTCTCGAGGAAGTTCTCTCATCTCTCGAGGAAGTTCCTTGAGAAATGGACGGCATAGAGGATCTTGAGAACTAGCGCGCCGAAGCACTCGGCATCGTATTTTCCTCTTACCATAAGTGCTTTCTCTCTCTCTCTCTCTCTCTCTCTCTCTCTCTATTTATCTATTGATCTATCTATCTATCTATCTATCTATCTATTTCTCCTCGATCTCTATCTCTCTCTTTTTTACTCACTTATGTGTGCATACATAGAGAATGATAGAGACATATGAATATAGAACGTACGTATTATTGTTCACTGCACGTTCACCAAGTCAAAATCAAAGGGAAATATCAAAACGAAAACGAAACAGGATAGTTTCCCCATGGAAATATTTCTTTTATCGTTTTTTCTTCAAAATTGAATGCGAAATAGTGTTTTACGTTTCCTCAATATACTATGAGGATATACTATGAAGGCAAATTTTATTTTTACTATCTTTTTTTTACGATCATAAAAAAAAAAATACGAATAGAATAGATAGATAGCAAATTGCATTAGACAAAATCGAGAAACATTTAATTCTAATTAGTCATTGTTAATCAAATTAATAATTAATTTGGAAACGATTAATATGTGATACGTTCGGTTTAAATTTTAATAAAATTTTTGTTCTTATTAGAATAAATAATGACAAATGTTAAACATAGTGAATTGTCGAAAAATAAAAACTTTGATCGATAAAGAACGTTGTATAATAGAAACGAAGTAAAAAAAGAACAATGCCTGAGAAATTCATTCAACGAGAATCATACAGGTCAGCGAATAATCTTTCTTATCAAAGTAGAAACTAGGAGTTTCTTGAAAGGATCTATTAGTGAAGTCATTTTGAAAGGATTTATTTGGTAATATGGCTAGAGAATCAGAAAAGTTAAATGATTATTCATTTAGCTTTGCAGTTTATTCGATTTTTGCTTTGGATCGAACAATTTATTTATTTATACAGGATTGATCAAAAGTTCCTAAGCGATTTTAAAGATCAATTAGAAATTCTTCTTTGAAACTATTTAAACTCATTTCTTTTTAAATTGCAAAAAATCTCCTAGGGTTGTAATTTAACAGAGACGAAAATCAAATTAGCCTAGGAAGTCTCGAAAAAAATTAATTGATTGAAAGGTTGTAAGTTTTTTATTCGTTTCTTTCAACATTCACAAACTTTTTTTTTTCATTTCCGATAAGAAAACAATTATAATGATAAGATGGAGAAAGATATTCGTTTTGTAAATTTCATTTGATAGCTTCAATGTTACTAACGCGAAAGAAATTATATTATTAATGCTTTGAGCTCATGTATATTTCATCATTTTTTTTCAAGGAAAAGTTTAACTTTAGATTTTACATTTTACATTTGGTAACAGAACGTACACGTAAAGAGAATGAGAAAGAGAAAGACATATATATATATATATATGTCTTTCTCTTTCTTATATATATATATATGTATGTATGTATATATAATACATGTTATATATACTACAGGTTTATATAAAAGTGATAGAAAAAGAAAAGAAATAAGGAAACAAAATCGTTTCTATTGCTTATTTATTTTTATTTTCAAAAATCAATATTGAAAAAAAATGAAATTTTGACTTTGAAAGTTATAAATTTTAATCAAACATTTTGATTTTTTACGTATACCTATGGAAAAAGGAAAAGGATCTATAAATAAAAATAAAAAATTAAATCAGATTTTTCTGAAAAGTTTAAGTTTAATATATATTATAAAAATGATTTAAAATTTGTCATTTTTCTTGAATCTCGCTATCGCATTTCCCAAAAGAAAACATTCATTTCCTCTTTTTCCTCTTTGGGATCAATAAATATTTTAAATTCTCAATTGGCTAGGCTGAATGAAATTTGTCCAGGAGGGTGTGTAATCGATTGGAATATTTTCGAGGTATTAGCATAGAAAGTGCTACTCCATTCGATCGAATGCATTTTCCTTCAACCCTGTTAATTGGTTCGGTCGATGAGAAATCACGTGAATTGTTCTTGGTTTCGTATTTGGTAAAGCCATCGTAGTTTAAACAGTCTACGCTGTTCCTTAAGACTAATCTGTTCTTGGAGAAGTAGACATATATACACACATATATACACCATGTACACATACATAGGTATACTTATACACATAGATGTTTACAAAACATTAGCAAAAGACCGTAAATATCCTAGTTAGGTACAAGTTTAATCTTTTAATCATTTCTTTCGAATCATTTTAAAATCATTATTTAAGAGTAATTACTGTATACATTTGCTCGTCAGTTTGTCGTGATAAATGTTAGAATAAAATAAAATACACGGATAAGAACTTTTGACCTTTACGAATGTGTAAACGTTGCTCATGGCATATTGCAGATACCCCAAGTGAGCTATGCATCAACCAGCACTGAATTATCGGACAAAAGTCGTTTCGAGTATTTCAGTAGAGTTGTACCACCAGACAGTTTTCAAGCGCAGGCCATGGTCGAGGTGATACATCGTTTAGGATGGAAATATGTTTCTACGGTGGCCGTCGAAGGTGATTATGGTGAAAAGGTCAGTCAGTTTTTTCTTCTATGGACTTTAAATGATAATAAATAAATATATATATACATATATATATATATATGTGTGTGTATATATAGAAAAGATAAGTTTTTTTATTTAAAAGTGTACATATAAAATGAGGTTCATTTAGCAGATATTTTTAATTAGATGTTTTTTAAAATATTGTTTCATATTTTATGTTATCATATATAGCATCGATAATTTTAATCTATTTTATAATATTATAAATAATATATAATCTATAATATAATATATAATCTATTTTATATATACACATATTAAATTGATGATTTCATCCTTTATATAACAAAAACGTTTAACCAAATCGATTAAAAGCGAACAAAAACTGCTTATTTCCTGAACGATAGAACAAAACAAGAGGAAAGGTCACATGGAGGTCCTGTAAATAACGAGCATTAATAAAACATTTTAATTACTTAACGAAACTGAATTTCTTCGATGATTACTTGTGATTTACTTGGATTTTTGAATATAAAAAATATCTGATTAAAAATTAGAATATATATATATATATATATATATATATATATATATATATATATATATTTGTGGGTTTATGTGTGTTCAGAAAAAGAAAAATGAAAGTGGGTCAGTAATATTTTCTAATCGATATTTTTATTACCATTAGTATCATTATTTTGATGTTGACGTCGTAGCATTTTTGAATCGTAAATTTCTTTTTTGTTCTTTTTATTTTTTATTGTCTTCATATATCAACAAGATACACGGTGAAAATCGCTTAACGATAAAAGCAATATCCGTTTTCTTTTCACCTTCGATATTTCAAATGATGCTTGCTTTTGTCGTAAAAGTAAAAACAAATGCACTTGGAATTTCTTCGAATACGTTCCTTCATATTCTTTACAGTAGATTGAATAAGAGCTTGAGAACATGCGATGTTCAAAGAAACGACGGAAGCTTGTGTTTGGATATTGCTTGAGTTAAGTGTAGTAAAAAATAAAATAAAATAAAATAAAATAAAATAAAATAAAATATTCGATTAGAATTATTTTTTGAAGGGAAAGGGAGGAGGAGAGACAGGGAAAGAGAAAAGAAGACAAAGGAAAAAAGAGAGAATAATAAAACGATTATCTATGTTTAGGGTATCGCCAGTTTTATATCGTTATCCTTGGAATATAACATTTGCGTTGCTGTAAGCGAGAAGATATTACGTAATTCGAAGACCGAAGACTTTGATAAGATCGTAGAAAGACTAAGCACGAAACATAATGCTCGAGGAGTCGTATTGTTCGTTGATGAAGATAATATAAGGTAAAGAATTATTATTAATTATTTTATAGTATTATTAAATATTGATTTCATTCTTTTCAAAAAGTTAGAACAATCTAGTTAGAAAAATATTTAATAGAAAATATAATAGTATAGTAGTTTTATTTGTGAAATAATAATTTTCTTATATCTGAAAATGATGCTTCTTTTCGGAAAATAATTATTTAAAAATGCAGCTTACTCTGAACACATATTAAAAAGAAAAAAAAAAATGAGTAGACAAAATATTTTCATAGGCTTGATCAAAATGTTAAATATATAAAAACAGCTGATATTTTTATAAGCGAAAAAGAAAATTATTTTTTATTATATGACGAGGAAAAAATTAGTAGCATGAAAAAAGATAGGTTTGTGTGAATTAAAAGTTGATAAACTTTAGATGATATAGATTAACATCAGAAGTTTTCTTTCTTTCTCTATCATCCTATATATATATATATATACATACATACATATGTATATATATATATATCTTTCTCAGCTACATTGTTTTCTCTAGTAATTAATTTCTGCCATGACCGATCAAGTATACCTCCGTTATTCCATCATTGATTTATGATGAACGATATAAGTTCGTTCTGACGACAATATCCTATGGATAGGATCATTACTTTTTGTTTCACCCTTGACATGCCCTTCCCTTTTACGTAGGAACACAAAGCAAATGTTACTGTAAAAACTCTCCTCGTTTGACAACTCTGCCATTGAAATGAACCTCTCGGCTATTTTTGATCGTTTTCAAACGAGACGTGAATAAAAAGAAGACGAAAGAGAAGAAGAAAGGAAGTAAGAAAGAGAGAGAGAGAGAGAGATAGAGAGAGGGAGAGAGAGACAGAAAGAAAAAGGAGAAGAATAAAATCTGATATAATTTATAGATATATTATAAATATTTTTTTATATTAAATAAAATCTTAAAAGAAACGTCGATAACTTTTTATGATCTAATTTTTTATCTTTGAAAAATGAAATTCATTTTGAATATCATGAACTTGAAAAGTTCAATGATATTATAAAGGGTTAACGATAAAAAGAAAAATATATATAAAATAATAAGAAAGAGAGAAAGAGAGAGAGAAAGAAGGAAGAAAAAATCGGGATTGAATTTCGTGGTTATAAAAAGGAAAGAGCTTTACAAGTGTCACAGCTTATCTTCTTAGGCATTGGTTGCTTATGTTATATTATGGATCGCTCTGAATGCAGCCTGTGAAAAATGACGTTCGCTATATGTAGTATCGATTTTTAAACGTCGTCGTCGTTTAAACGATGTTATACGTGCGATGCTCTTCGACGTATCCTTCTCACTCGATTATTATCTATTCCGCGAGAATTATTTTCTTTTCTTTCTTTTTTGTTTTTTTAAGTATTTTCTCTTTTTTCTTCCTCTTCTTCTTCTTCTTCTTCTTCTTCTTCTTCTTCTTCTTCTTCTTTTTCTTCTTTTTTTTCTTCGTTAAGTATCTGTCAGATTGACAGATGTGATAAAAATAGGTCGTTAGTTCTTACCGTTAAAATAATCCTAAATAATGTTCTCATTTGTCAATGCTCGAGAATATTATCTTTCAGCTATTATCTTTCTTTTGGATTATCTTTCCTTTAGCTCACACGTACAATATATCCGTCCAATATTTTTCGTTATTATTAACAAAGAATTTTCTCTCTTTCTTTATCTAGAATATATATTATCAAGGGAAAACCACTTTTAGGTAGGTCGCCATAGTGGCGTTAGCGGTTTTCATAAAACACACATAGCCAACTCGTTTTTTTGGCTAGTATCCAAATATCGAAGCAAACCGGCTGCTGCAGGAAAAAACATTCTTTTTCCACCTATCGACTTTAAATTTCAACCCCTCAAAAGGCTTCGTATCGACACGGATATCTTCGACCCATCACCTTCTTTATATCTATCCCTGTCTTCCTTTCGTTGCTTCTTCCTTTCCCTTCCTTCCTTTTTCCCTTTTTTTTTCTTTTTTTTATTCTTTTTCTCTAGGAAAAATCTCTATTTATACATGCCGTATTCTCGCTTACGCGTACAATATATATTCTCTTTCGAACAAATGCAAGAGCTTTGCATTACAAAGGACGGAGTTCTCTCTATCGGTCGCATCCTTTTCCTTGTTCTTCAACTTTTACGAATAATTTCATCTGCGATATAAAAACAAAACAAAATCAAAAAGAAATGTTTCCCTAAGCGATTAAGGCGAGGTTTTTTTCTCTGTTTGTTAGTGTTTCTGTTTTCTTTTTCTTTTTTTTTTTTTTTTATTTTTCTTAACAAGTTTTTTCGTTTCATTTTTGAAATATTTTCGAACTTCGAGAGAATCTAACGAGAGATATTCAATTAATTACAATGTTAATTATATGTATGTAGATATATATAACGGAGCTAAAAATTTCTAGATTTATAATTTTTTAATCTAATAAACTCTCGAAAAAGAGTCATTAATTCGTAAAATTATGTAAAAACTTTTGACTTACCTTATATATATATTTCTGTATAATTAATAGTATGATCAATTTGTAAAATAAAAAATATGATTGTCAGAAATATTTCTAATCTACTTAAGGTTTCATCGTTTAATAGAATAAATCTATAAAATGAATTTCTTACTTTTCTTTCTATTAAAAAGATTTGATAGATGTATTTGTAAAGAAGTTTCTTTATTCAAAGTTGACATTACTTCGACTATAGGTTTTCTTTGGAATCTCATTCAAGAGTCAACACTGTTCAAACTGTGATCTGTTTTTTTAGATATACTAAAAGAACAAACAAAAGGATAATAATAATAATAGCAGTAATAATATTGTAGCAGTAAAGGAAAAAGAAGGAGAGGATCGATGTTCGAGTGTACACACGCCCTTTCTTCGCTCTTAACTTGAATCTCTCGTTCTTCGTCCCGAAGAAAACAATAGCCAGAGAGAGATAGAGAAAGAGGGTACTTATTCCCCTTTGCCCGTATAGTAATCCAGTGACCCCAATATCGTCCTCCAAATCGATTGCCCAAACACGTCCTGATATACCGTCTTCTTAGTATCGTCATCCCCTTTTCCGAAAGTGTTTCGAGACTAGCTTTCCTTCTCGTTCAAAGGATTATCTAACAAAAAGCTCCATTGACTAAAATACAACGTATTTAGTATTTTTTAAATGTATCTACTAGTGCTTTTATCCTATAGAAACACGTATGTCTCCTTTTTTTTTTTACTGTGATAACAGAGGGAGGAAGAGAGAGAGAGAGAGAGAGAGAGAAGGAAATATTTATTTGAATGTGAATTAAAAAAAAAAAAAGAAATAGTATATAAAAATCATCGTGGTCAATATTGATAATAGAATATTAGAATATTATTAGATGGATAATTATAAAATAAAATAATTTTATTGTAGTAAATGTTAACGATTAAATATTAGAATATTATCAGACATTTATAGATATTTTTATATTAATATATGAAACTTACATAAATGATAACACATACATATAGATAAATTATTTATTAAAACTTATTAATCAATGAAACATCTTTTAGAAAAATTTGATAGATGCAGATAGGGAAAGAGAAAGAGAAAGAGAGAGAGAGAGAGAGAGAGAGAGAGAGAGGAGAGAAAGAAAGAGAGAGAGAGAAAGACTGTCAGAAGAAGAAGATCGATTCCAGCGAAATAAATAAACCGACGGACCTCAATTTGTCTTCCATACTGTGTTGAGATCCAATTAGCTAGCAAGCATCCTCATGTACTCCCACGCATCTCGCTCACAAGGTTAAAATACGTATTCGTAAAGTGGTATACATTGACAAAGAAGAACACACATACATACACGCGCACACACGCAAGCATATATATATATATATATATATATATATATATATATATATATATTAAATATTTTTTCAATCTTGTTTTATTAATTTATATTCTTCAAAAGTTTTACAATTATTGGATTTATTAATCAAAGTGTCAGATTGTTAACTCAATATTATCAGTAAACCGTGAAACACGTTCTTGTTTCCTTGAGGACGTCGATATGTGGTTGAAATTGATCTCATTTGTTAGCCCCACCCCCTCTCTTCCTCCCTTCATCCTTCTATTTCTCTCTCTCTCTCTCTCTCTCTCTCTCTCTTTCTCTCTCTCTGTCTCTCTCTCTTTATCTCTCTCTCCCTCTCTAGCCTCATTTTGATAGTTTCAAATCGTATTGAACGCGAAAGCAGCGTGATTGAATTATTCGATTCTAACTTGTTAGAAACTCTACTGTTATGCTTGCTTTGAAACATAGATATACATGACTTGACTTTAGAATTTACTCTAGTATAGATATTTGCGTGGATGTTAAATTAATAGAAGAAGAAAAAAAAACGGAAGAAAACACATATTCCTTCCAATGTTCTAGTTAATATTACCCATCAATGATGATAGTTATCATATACTTCTATTCCGTCTCAATTCTCAAAAAGGAAATCTTTGAGAGAATTCTTCACAATCTCGTTTCCTGGAGTATACATACATACGTCGAAGAAAAGCCATTACTTCTTGAATTCGATTTCGATGGACCATGCTTGATAAGTCCGACAATATAAGTTTAGAGGTTTCAAACTCGTTCCTCTTATCCGACTTGTATTGCTCCGATAGATCTTATTTTGGTTTCTTTTAGTTTCTACTCTCATTCTCCGTCTCCTCCTTTTCCATAAATAAGAAAATAACAACGATATCTATAAGATATTTATAAATCGTTCGAAGAGAAGAGTATTTCTTGGAAATTTATCAATTTATTATTCAATTTTGATTAAAAATTGAAGCGAATAAACATATTTTCTCACTTTAGCTATTATCAAAGTATAATTTTATTAGTATTGATATACTACCAATTATATTAAGTTAGTCGGGGGATAAGGGCTGACAGGTGGGTATCTCTATGTTCATATTCGAGAAACTAAACTTAAGACCGTAATGACTAAAGTATCATAGATGACCATACAACGTACACATATCTACATATGTATGTTGAGAATAAGCTTAGAGTTTCCATGGAAACGTTTTCCAAAGCTTCCTAACATTAATGACTGTTAACTCTCTCCTCTCTCTCTCTCTCTCTCTCTCTCCCTTTATCTCTCCCTCTCTTTAGCTTCCTGGATATATTCTGCTATATCTTTCCAGATAAATTGACACATGATTATCTTTGTGTATCCAGTTTCCTTGAATTAATCTAACTTTCTAGAAAAAAAATAAGTAAATAAATAAAAAAAAGAAGAAAAAAAAGGAAGAATTGTAACGAAAAAATTGACGAAATTGAAGCTTATCTTATCGACGATATCATCCTTCTCGTTTGTTATATTTCAGAAAACTTCTACAAGCTACGGTGAGAGCCAATCGTACGGGTCACTTCATGTGGGTTGGTAGTGACTCCTGGGGTGCTAAAGTTTATCCGGTGAGAGATCAAGAATTTGCTGCGGAGGGTGCTATCACTATACTACCATATAGGACTGCCCTTAAAGGTAATCTTATCGTTCAATCTTACTAGACAGTGTCTAAGTGATGTTTATACTACTATTGACCAATTCAAATTGTATACAATTTTTTTTTGGGGGATCTGATGTTTTTTTATCTGTTTTTATTATTATTATTATTATTATTATTATTATTATTATTATTATTATTATTATTATTATTATTATTATCATCATTATTATTAATGAAATATATATTTTATTGTTACGTTTGTTATATCTTTTAAAGGTTTTGACGAATACTATCTTAATCTTCGACCAAGAATGGCTAATGAATGTCAAGGTCAAAGTGAGAATAATATTCCACACGAATCATTACCCGGAAAAATAGTAAATTGTAGGAATATATGGTTCCGTGAGTTTTGGTCGCAACATCATAAATGCACTTTCAGCCAAAATGCATCGATCGAAATGACGAGATGTACTGGTACTGAAGAACTTAAGGATTACGAGCAAGAAGGACTGGTACCTTTCGTTGGTAAAATAATTTCATTAATTTGTAAAAAATTGCTAATGAAATATCCTGTGAAACAATAGATATATATATATATATATATATATATATATATCTATTGTTAAATATTTATATATATATATAATATAAATATAATATATAATAATATATAATATATATAATAAGTAGGTAATTACTATTTTGTAAATGAAAGAGATGATTATCTTGAAACAAAGCTAACACATCGTTCTACTTTTTCTTTTCTTTTTTTCTTTTTCCATCAGACAATTGTGCCTCCTTTGTCTCTTTTAAAATAGCCTGGAGCAGAGCCCTTAACCCAACGAATTCTTGAGACTTTAGACTATTACTCGCTAAAAATCCTGACCTGATTTTTTATTAGGTTCTTTTTCTTTTTCTTTTTCTTTTCCATCAAATGAAGAAGTCCTTCTTTTTTCTTTTTTTTTTTGTTCGTTTTAAGATATTACAGACGAGAAACTTTCCTCTTTATGTCACATTCAAGAAAAATATATCAATTGAATACATATAATTATATTTTATTATTATTATTATTATTATTATTATTATTATTATTATTATTATTATTATTATTATTATTATTATTATTATTATTATTATTGTTATTATTATTATTATTGTTATTATTATTATTATTATTATTATTATTATTATTATTATTATTATTATTATTATTATTATTATTATTGTTATTGTTATTATTGTTATTATTGTTATTATTCATATAGTCGATGCTGTATATGCAATGGCTCATGGAGTTCACAACGTGATAGAGGAAGAATGCGAAAATGAATTTACTGGATTGCATTATGTTTGCGAAACTTTGAAACCTGCACCCGATGGCCAACAACTTCTACAATATATTCGAAACGTTACCTTCATTGGTAAGGATCAACACAAAGAGTTTCTAATTTTTTTTTTTTTCAATTGAATATTGGAATTGGTTATTTTAATAAAAAAAATTGTTTACATATATTATACTGACAAGAGATATATATTCTTTTTTTCAGGTCGTCAAGGTACAGAAATTAAATTCAATATCAATGGCGATGCCTATGGGTTTTATAATATTTATCAATATCAACGTAACGAAGAAAATCGTTTTGATTATACTCTGATTGGCACTTGGAAAGAAGAGTAAATTTTTTTTCTTTTTGCGAGATTTTTAATAATTGATTTTGAAGAATAAACTGATCGTAATTTATTTTTTTTTCCAATTTTTAGATTGGCTTTTGATATCAATATGACCAGATGGGCAACAGGAGCTGGTGAACTTCATATACCAAGAAGTTCCTGCAGTGATAATTGTCCTTTAGGTCACGTCAGAAATTTCCAGGTAGGAAATGATCGATTGGAAACATAAACAAGGGAAAAAGAGAGAGAGATAATAAGAGAGAAAGATAAAAAAAAATCAAGTGTTTTTCATATCTTTAAACTTGTGCCTTTAGACTCGTTTAAAAATGGTGATATGATGCTTGAGCACGTAAACTCTGGAAAAAGCACGAAGCCTAGAAGGAATGCAAACGAGTCGTTATTTTGAAGTAGTCTCTTTCTCTCTCTCTCTCACTCTCTCTCTCTTCTTCAGTAGCACGTTACTAATTAACCTCGTAGTTTTCGTCATCGTGGTGTTTCTAATGTGAAGGTATTTCAAAAAAAAAAAGAAAAGAAAACAGAAGCACTTTGTGCGATCGTTACCACCTGTGGATATCACTTGTTTCTTCATGATTACTTTAGTACTGTTAATTAAATTTTCGATTGATCAGTGTTATCATAAAATTATCTCCTGTTAATAATGAATCTGGTATATGATAGTTATCTTTAAAAATGGAAAGAGGTCTGTTGATATTGAAAAAACTTTTAATATATTAATTAAAATATTAATTAAAATTATTAACATATTAATTAAAATTATGCTATATTGTAAAAGGAAATAATAATAGTATGTATACTATTATATTTATATACAATAATGATGTACAGTATTATTTGTAATAAATATTTATAGTACATTTTATAATATTTTTATACTATTTATAAAATTACTGTTATTTTCTTTTTCTATTATTTATCCATTAAATAAGCCATTAAACTTTTAAATAGATCTGATATACCTATATTAATAAATAGAAAAAATTAATTAAATTAATCTCTGATTTTTCTATCTACAGGAGGCATGTTGTTGGAGATGTGTAGCTTGCCGAGAAGATGCTTACGTATTCAACGACACTTGCAGCAGTTGTGGACCTGGATACGCTCCTGACGAAACAAAAACAAGTTGCATCAAATTAACAGCTGAAGTTATATCATGGACCAGTCCGTGGGCATTGGTACCACTAGTTTTCGCTTCCATTGGCATCCTCAGTACACTTTTCACAACGTTTGTATTCATTCGGTAAGTCACGTGATACTTCGTACAAAAATAGCTTTGGTTAATTGAATATAATAATAGATTCGTGTTAAAAAAATATAAAAGGTTTTCTTCTTTTTTTTTTTTTTTCGTTAAAAAAACGATGAGATAAAAAAGTCAATGTGTACTGAGATCCAATTGATTCAATTCAGGTATTTAATTGATGGTATGGGATTAAAAAAAAAAAAAAAATAATAAAATGTAGCAATGTTATTTGAACATAGTGTACTAGGTAGTAATTAGGAATCGATTGAATCTTCCTAGTAATTACACCTTCTCTACTCTTAACAAATACTTGAAAGAAAAGCCGTCAATTAAAGTATAATCATGATTGCAAATGTGATCAGGTTTTAACTTACTTATAATACCTTTTTTTTTTTAGATTCAATCGTACCCCAGTGATCATGGCTTCTGGTCGAGAATTGTGTTACGTTTTACTCGTTGGGATTCTATCTTGTTATGGGATGAGCTTCGTTATATTGAGCAAACCAACAACATGGAATTGCACCTATCTTCGTATTGGTCTAGGCCTTTGCTTGAGTATTTGTTACAGTGCAATACTCACCAAAACTAATCGTATTTCACGTATATTTAATCAAGGTACGAAAAGTATCAAAAGACCTTCATACACGTCGCCAAAAAGTCAAGTTGTTATTGCTATCGGTGAGTACGTGCTGTCTAAGTTAATGATTGATCTGTGAATAAAATTGGATTATAAATTAAAAATAAAATCAAATGAAATGAAATTAAATAAAAGTTAGAAAATTACGCTTGATGATCTGTAATTGCTCGGGCAAATAAACAAATTTAACGAATATATATTTTATCGACAGATCTTCCATCGTTATAAAATCAAATCAAATCAAATTAATAGGGTAGTCACACGTTGGCCGTTCGTGCCGTTCGAGCTTGATCCTGAATTACGTAACTCCCGTTTTTATAGGGATCACTGCAGTCCAACTGATCGGTGCCATCGTTTGGCTGATTATCGAACCACCTGACACCACAGAGATCCATCCGTATCCACTATCAGCTGTATTGACATGTCGTGTCTCAACGTTCTCCTTGATGATGTCTCTTGTATATAATATGTTCCTCATACTGATGTGTACTCTATATGCATTTAAAACAAGAAAAATACCAGAGAACTTCAATGAAGCTAAGTACATTGGTTTTACCATGTACTCGACTTGTATAGTCTGGCTTGCCTTTGTACCAATTTATTTTGGTTCGAAGAATGATTACAAGGTATCTAGCAAAATTCAATGAAAATCATTTGCAGGAAGACTTAGAGAAGTTTATTCTGTAGGTCCAAATAGCAAGCATGTGTATGTGTATCAACATCTCAGCATCTGTTGCTCTTGGTTGTCTATTCACACCAAAGGTCTATCTTGTATTATTTCAACCTTACAAGAATGTACGACCTGGTCCCAACGTGAGTAAAAAATAATCCTAAAAAATCAAGTCATAATTAATATAAATGGTTAAAAATAATTTATTTATAATAATAAGATACGCATAAGAATACATAGAAATAAAATTGAAATATATTTTATTAATTATTAAATTAATTATTAAATATAAATGTTAATACAGCCAGGAGGTGTTCATTGTATTAACAGGCCAACATTCATAATGCAATTTTCGGGTGCGAGAAGTCAAACGATGCAGAGCATGACCTCAGGATCACGTAGCAGCCCTCCCCCATCACGAGCATCTCGAAGTGAGCAAAAGCATATAAATGGTAAATTAAAAAAAAATATTTTTATTAATAAGTCCTAACAATTGGAGAATTTTTTATTGAAATTATTCAATTTGTAATTAGGTGAAAGTCAAGCCCTGGCAAGCCCGTCAGTCGAAGAAACATCAGTTAGCTAGGTCGCTCTCATACACCTCCCTCTTTGTCCAGAGCATCATCTGAAGGTGCATGAGACTGAGGTGGAGGTGTATGTCGATGAAGAAATCGCAAGAACAACAGAGAAACTCTCGATCGTTAGTGAATTATCAGAGTTACCAGATGTGCCAAGTTCTGATGAGGACTATGACCTTGAACAGGTTCAAAACAACTTATCTATTATTTACTCTGATATTAAGAAAAAGTCATAAATGATTATTTAAATTTGTTTACAATTTCCTTTCATTTAGGTAACTACACCGATCAACAGCATCTCTGAAAGGATAGATGTCTCTACAGAATTAAACGATCGTCCGAACGAGGAACATATTGGACGTATCTATAGTGCATCTCCAACATTCTCGGATTTTTCATCATAGTGTTCGACGTCAATCTTTTCTTCATTTCGTCGAACTATTCAATTATGATCTATACTCGAGTATAACTTCGTACTCTCGAGATATAGTATTATAGAGAGATCTTTTTACTATTTCAATCGGTAAGTATGACTATAAAATCGTTCAAGGACAAACTTTTCAAACAAGAATTTCAAAAAAGTTTTAAGGTTCTAATCAATCGAGTGGTATTCGTACGTACACGTAATGACCTAATTGTTCGTTCATAAATAATATTTTTTATAGCCATTTCTCTCATTGACATCTTCGAGTATACTTTTAAAAAAGGATTAAATTGACATACAATACTTGGTTCGTTTTTATGAGAAAAATTTTGATTCTAATCATTCGTTTTTATCATCCACTTAAAGAGAGAAATGTTTCTGTAAAATATACGATATATGATATCCAATTGATTTTTCAATCGTGTTAAATGCAAATATAATTAATTATCATGTCCGATAATTAAGACGATATTATACAAAGTTAGAGGCAAATTACTACTTGCAGCACGATAAGAATTGCTAGGTAAGAGAAAAAACACTATGAATAATGATAATAATGATAGTTTTTAGTCCTATAATTATTATTGATGATCGTGTCTATATTTGTAGTAAGAGAAATTAATGAATATAAAGAAAAATTCGATTTTTCATGTTTCTTTCAATATTGATTTTTTTGTTTTTGCAGAAATTACTATTGCATATCGAAAAAAAAAAAAGAAAATGGATTTAACTATAGGACTATAAGCGTCAAATATAAGGCTCTTAAATATTTTCACGAACATCGATTTTGAAATATTTCTTCCTGAATCGGCTGTACTTCATATTTCAATTGCATCGTGTGTCTCGGAAAGCACTGCTGTTTTTTGTACGATAATATCTAATAGAATCTATATATTAGAACAAAAAAGAAATCTTAGATAAATAATTATATATTATAATCGTGTTTATGGAGAAATCGAATTTGCATAGTATATATTATATATATATATATATATATATATATATGTATGTACATTGTACATAATACCGAATCATTGATAGCTTTCTTTACAAAAAAATATTTGCATTCTCTAGAATATTACTATATATTAACAATATTGCGAATAAGGAGATAATTATTTCATAAAAAAATAAAAATATAAAAAGAAAAAATAAAAAGAAAAAAAAAACAAACTTATAAACGTCAATGTGTCGACGTGCCAAAAGAAATATAATGGACGATAGATTTCAATTAGAAACAAAGGAAGACGAAAAAAGATAGTAGAAGATCGTATTGAACTTTGTAACTGCAACGAAAATGAACATGTGTTGTAATAGAGTACTGCATGTGTAAATGTAAAACACCATATACTCGTGATGTAAAATAAGCAACGTAATTACATCACTTAAATGCAATTTTTGCAGATTAACAATAATGTATAATCTGTTGAATTATTATTATCGATTATATATTATATATATAATTGATATATATATATATTAGTTGGTGATTTGAAAAGTAATCTAAGTCATATATATATTTTTCGTTTTGAGATTTTTTTAACATTTCAGTTTTAATTATTTAAAAATTTTTTTTTCTGTAATGAGGCAAGCAAAACAAGTAAGTATATTCATTTTTGAAATAAAAAGAAAATTAATTCTCTTTTATGTAATTTTCAAATTTTTAAAATAACGTGTTAAAAAATATTTTTTTTTAATATCTCGAATGATTTAGACCACTTTCATAATCACTGACTCTTGTATATGTATATATATACATATATATATATATACATAACTGCCGGCGATAATAAAATTTAACTAAAAGAAGAAAAATTTTTTAAATAATTAATGTAAATATTAAGATATAGTTAAATATTATAGTAAATGAGATATTAATTGTTGATATTTATAATACCAAAGAATTATGTTACTTTTCGTACAAAAAATTTTAATACGAATCAAAAGAAAAAGAAGAAAAAAGCAAAGAAATTAAGGGAAAAAATATCGATTTAAAATAACTCGTAGTTGTGAACAAACAACTATTCTTCCTATTGACAAATTATCTCAACTATATTAAACATTTTTCTTTACAAGAGACAGCTTCAAAAATAATATTCCTATTAGAATTTCATTGCTAGTTTATATCTATATCTATATATATATATACATATACATAAACTAGCAATAAAATTCGATATATATAACAAAATTCGATATATAAACAAAAAAGCACGAAATTAACTATTAATAATCGTGCCATTATAATGCATACATTCATAATTCGCGCGTAATAGAGTAAGATCACGTGGCAACACTAAAAGATCAAAACAATTACCGTTTATGATCTATAATTCTCGTTTTTATGAACGAAATTTAATATTTATTGTGCCAAACAATCGTTAGCTGTTTAATCAAAAACAAATTAATCTTCGACCTAGTCGAGATATATATGTATATTAGGTAAGATCGTAAAAATTTAATAAATTATTTGTTAATACATTTTATATATGTACCTATATATATACATATATATATACATATATATATATAAGTTAGAGAAATAGGATGCAAAAATTAAATGTGAAGAAAATGATGGCCAAAAATCAAAAGAAATATATGTATTCGTTTAAATTTTGTAGATGCACACTCTCGATATATATTTGCATTCATGACGAAGTTGCATTGTGCATTTCCGGTGCATAAATCATTTCAAATGAAATTGCACGTAGTCATTAGTATTATTAAAAAGTTCGTGTTTAATAGAGTGAAAATCAAATGGTGGAAGATAAACAAAAAATCAAATCCTACATAGTCCAAATATATAAAAAAATAAATAAATAAAAGATTGCAGATCGAATCTTTGCTAAATAAAAAAACGATTTTACATATTCTAAATAATATAAACGATATATGATATAAATTAAAAAGTATAAGTAAAGGAATACATTGGAGAACATAATAAAAATTTATAATTAATGTGATACACATTTAAGCATTATGTATACCTCTTAGTAATTAATATCGTTAGTATGATCACTAGAGCCATGTCTTTTATATGTAAATAATAATTATAGAAAGAAAAAAGGAGAAAAAAATAATGATAACAATGTTCGAATTTTACATAAAATGGTGGACGTGTCAAGTTCCTTCATAAGTAAAAATGATAAAGCCTAATTAATTAGACAGTTATGTAGAGATCAAAAATGATTTTCTAATCTTTTACATATTTCATTTATAAAATTCTTCACTGATTACAACAGGAAAATAAATCACTCGCAGATATGAAAACTTTCTGTTTTTTGGCAGGAAAGTATGAGCCAAAGACTTACATATAATAATAATAATAACAATAATACTAGTAGTAATAATAATAATAATAATAATAATAATAATAATAATAATAATAATAATAATAATAATAATAATAATAATAGAAAAGTATCGCTAATGTATTAATAAGAAATATAAATTACTATATCAAAGGTGCATCATTATATATATCGTATATATACATATATAAATATATACACACTTCCAAATATCATAGATTTAGAAAACAAATTTTTCATTACGTTTGCAGATTAAATATATGTCTATTAAATAAAAATGAATAGTTTATGATGTTTTAAAGGTATTATAAATTTTTTATAAATTCTAATAAGGCATGATTTTCATGTTATTTTTTACTTATATAGCAATGATTCTATAAATATCCTTTATTATCCAATTTTTTATTTTGCTCTTCAATTACTGGAATGATTATTTTTTAAATATGTTAAAAAATGAAAATAGTATATAAAACTTTATTTTAAAGTATTAAACACAATATCTTTGTTTCTGTAAAAAGGTAGAACTTTAAACAATAGAATATATATATATGTAATATATATATAAGATATATATATATATATAAATATATATATATATATGTAAGATATATATATAAGATATATATGTATCTTATAGTAGACATATTGTATCGATAATAAAATAACTATGTACAATGTTTAAGGTTTATTATATCGTACTTTTTGTCGATCTTGATGACCATAATATTCGTTCATTATTAGTTTACAAAGGAATAAATGAAAAACAATGATGAGAAAACATATACTAATCCAGAAAAGAGTAGGTAAACCTCCAAGTTGATGACCATGCTTATGTAAAGCCATTACGTGATGATCGTGAGCTGGAGCTATACAAAATTAAAAAGTATATTTCGCATATTCGTATCATTTTATAAATATGTATTAATACATACCATCGTCTACAGCATGAACATGTAAAGCATTTCGTAAATCTTGCATGTGTTGATAATCAGATGTTATATAAAGTATAGCAGTCAATGGTTTAGTTAATTTTACCGGAAAGTTGGTATAAGTTTGACTTAAAGAAACCGGTGCATCTAAACAACCTGCATCGCATCCAAAATATACGCTGTCACTTTTATCCAAGGCTACTCCCAAAATTGCACGATTATCTTCTCCTACTGTTACTGATATATTTACATGAGTTACGTTACCATAACTTATTCGTCTGTAAATATATAAAGGAGAGAATTTGTTTTGTTAGATAATAACGATATATACTTTATTTCATACCTAAATAAGTAATCTCGATGGAGATATTGCGGATCGATATTAAACTCCAGATGTTGATTGGTAAATCTTAAACCTCCAAGGCTTAAAACAATAGCTTGCTGTACTGCTGGAGGACCTCCTACCATTAAATGATGACAGCTTCGTTTTTCTAACGTTAATAACCATGCATCGACAATCTCATTTACACTATCAATTGATGAAGTATCTTTCCATAATTTTGGAGCATCTCTAAAAATATACATTATTAATTGTCTAGTATCTTTAGATGATATAAAAAGAAATATTTAATTTATTACAATGTGTGATGACCATGATAACAACCCTCGTTAGTTGCAATTTTTTTTTCTACATCTACAAGGCCTCGTGGAATTTGAGAAAGCACCAAATACATTGTAGAATTTATTTTATGACCATTAATAGCTCCTGCAGCTTTAGAATCACTTATTCTAAAACCAGTAGACCAATAACTTTGCCATACTTTTACATGTTCTTCTTTTAAATTTTTCTGTTGTTGCATTATTGCTTTTTTTAATATCTACATTAAATAAAATAAATATATAAATTCAATTACATAAATGACAAATAAAAAATATGAACATTTCATGTAATGTTTAAAAGCAATACTTACATCTATGGCTTTCCTTTTAGTTACATCTCTTTCAATATGATATCGTTCTGATGAAACTGGTTCACTGTATTGTATACTTGTAAGAAATTCAAGTTTTATAGTACTCCTTGCTTTAATTTGTATCATTTTCGGTGGATCTTTATAAACTATGGATATTACAATAACTTTATTTGAGTCAGATAGAGGAATGAATCCAGATATTAAATTATACTCATGACTAAAACCATCCACTTGTATCCTAGACGAATACACAGTTATTTTATGTAGCAAACTTGATTAGTAAAAACTTTTACAAGTTGATATTAATATTTACTTAATAGTTTCTAATCGTGAATTAGCCCAATGTGCAGCAGTCAATGGTTTCAACGGTATCTCTTGAGAAAGTGATGTAGGATTAACAATTTTCACATCCTGCACTAATATTGCATCTAAAACTCTATGAGCATAATATTGAAAACTCAAGTGATAACCTTCTCTGAGACATTGATACTTATGAACAATTCCAGTTGTGAAATGAGTGACAGTAGCTTCACTATAAAAACTATTTTCATATAAAGGATGAGAAACTAATGGTTGCCATTGTATAGGTAATAATAAAGCTCTGCCATGTTTAATATACATCCAACCCTCTGGTGAGACGGGTATACCAAATACTCCATTACCAATATATGGCAAGTATTGATGTTCTTTTTCCAAAGGTGGATTATGAAGTATATTTACATTATATTCTGCTGCATCGAAATAAAAAGTAGACAATCTTTCAGTCATACAATGATGTTCGAACGCTATAAAAATAAAAAATAATTCTTTAAAATTGTATACCAATCTTATAACATAATTTTGATCTTACTTAATATTACCTTCTATTGGTTCTCTGGCTGTAGAAAAGAGCCATTGTGCAAATTGTGGTCCAAAATATAGAAGTACGCCGCCGCAGATAAGAATGAAAAATAAAAGTTTACGATAAGAGTAATTAACATCTATCAAACGACGTATTCGTTTTCCAAATTCACGAGCATCCAGCATGCCACCTGTCCTCATCGTAAAAACGATGATGTTTAGAAATAATAGGCGTTTTTCTTAAACTGCTTGAAAACATAACCTTTAGGAATCAAAGATCTTAATGCGAATAGAAATAATTTATTATTATCGTCTCATTATCATTTTATTATTAGCATCTAAGCTAAAAAAGAATCGATTTAATTAACAATATTTTATTACACTTTTCCGTAAATTTCGTAATAACATCATTTATCTACCATTATAAGTAAACAATAGACAAAATTACTAACATCTGTGACATATATGACGTAAGATTATACGCTGTCCACTTCATGTGAGTACACGCTAGACTATCGAATTTTTTAGCTACTAATCGAGATAACTCGATTATTTCAAATACACCAATCAGAAATCGTTCGCTCTTGTATCGTTTCATTGATTGGCTCATTTCGAAAAATCGATATATATATATCGAATTATTTAAAAAAGACCGCAAAAGTTTCTATTTAATTGCTATAATCAATTTCATCTATTTTTTACAAAACGATAAGTTTAAATAAATAAATGTATATTCGAGTATATATATGTATATATACTTTTATTTTAAGATCATGATAAATATTAATTTCTAATGTGTTTCTTTCTAATCATACGTTGTACTGTGTTACGATAGCGTAGTGTTATGATATTTTATAATCAGAATATTTTTTAAATTAAAAAAATATCTATTATTAAAGTAATTTGAATAAAAAAATATCATAGCTTACTTTACTCGAATTTCTATCGAGAAGGACGGTAACTATCGTGGTTCCCGCGGCACTTCCCGCACATCCTCTTGTCATTTGGGATACTCCCCTCCATCCTACCTAATACCTAATATTAATAGCAAAACGGATCTAATCGGAAAATGTGAAATTAACATTGATTATAAATGAAATATCAAATAATTCTTATTGCTATCAATTTTTTATTATTAATTTAAAAATTATCTCAAATAAAAATTTCACATATATTTCAATGTTATTAAAAGACAATTACTTTGAAAAATTCAATTGTTATAGATCAACAAATCTTGGTAAAGACATAAGAATTTGTACATATCATTTTTCTCACTTTTTTCTTTCTGAACTATTATTGAAATTAGAGAAAAGAAAATACAAAAAAAATGTACCATATCAAATATTTTTGTATAACTTTGAAATATGTTTATACAGTATCAAGCGTTACCAATCTATACGATGGACTGTACCGAGAACGGATGCAGGGATAGATCGGTGTCACGTGGACCCTCCGGATATACCAGCTTCCTAGTCTTGCTCGCCTACTTTATCATTATTTCGTTTCATCGGAAATGTTCCGATACTGGTAAGGACATCCGTATACTTTTCTCCGCTACCTTTATTTTTAATACTTCATCTGTAAACAAATTTAAAAGCCAATATTCTCGACATAAATCCATAGAAACATATTGTATATATTTTATATAAATTATTAAATTAAAAACGAAAAAAAAAATTCTTATTAAGATTTTTTTTATGCATATGACTAATACATTTATGGCTATAATATTGATATTAATGGGATGAGACCAAGTCCACGTACGAAGCGTCATTTTCCTGGTAGCTCATAGGCAGACGTAGATCCGGATAGACTCATGGAACTACTCATTCCGCGCGTATCCCTAAACCTCCTGCCCTAAATCCATCCGGATTCCACTCCCTACCATGAACATGAAGCATCAGTCAACTACGAGCAATGCATGGTGGTGTATTGCTTCGAAAGCAAGGTCGATTCCCGCGTTCTCGTTTCCATCGTTAAGTTCCTCCCCTTGAAGAACTATTACCCCCTTCCCTATCAAAAATCCCTTCGATCAGGCTCACCCTCGACTTCTCCATCCCGAAACGATTTTTATTTCCTCATACAATAAAATACACTAATAATTATAACAATGATAATGATAAATAGAGGGTGTAGGGTTTAAATTTACAATTACATTAAATATTTAAAATACAAAAATAATAACAATGAGAGATATAATAATAAATAGATTATTTAAATAGATTTAAAATTATTAGAATGTATTGTTTAAGTATTGTACTCTCTCTCTCTCTCTTTCTCTTCGTCTTTCTTCCTCTCTCTCTCCCTTTTTCTTCCTCTCTCTCTCCCTCTCTCTCTCTTTCTCTTTTTTTCTATTTAAAATTATTTTAATAATTTTAATAATAATTGAAATCTTTTTTCAGGATGTATAAAGTAGAAGATTTAATGGTAATAAAATATGAGAAAAGAAAGAGAAAAAGGTATTGCGGAAGTAGAAAAATTTGAAAGGATGTTGTAAAATAGGAGGAAGAAACAGATGAAGCGTAGAAACTGTGTATCTATTGATACGCGAAGTCATGAAGTGGAGGGCTTCATACAAACTAGCAGAGCGATGTCAACTTGATGATGATATACTGGATACGAACATACTGACTCCCTCTCTTTTTTGCCTTTTCCTTCTCTTCCTCTCTTCTGTCTCCTTTCTCGATTTTTTTGTGCAATGATCATTCAAGACATTCAATAATAAAACTTCATTATAATAATCAATTGTATAATTCTTTTTTTTAGGATTGTCTTATTTTGAAATCGATTTAATTTTGATGTTTAAGTATCTTGAAAAATTAAGAATGATAAATTGATCTTTTAAAAAGATCTATCCTATTAAGATCATAATCGAAGAAAGCGATAATTTTATCTTTTAGCCTTTTTCTACAATGATCAATATATTTAATTAAAGTAATTAAAAAGAATGTGTTCATCTAAAAAAATAATTTAACAAATGTCATCAACTCTAATTAATTATTATTTTGCAATATCGATAGAATTGCACATTAATATTCAGAAAATAAAAATGAAATTGATCAAGATCTATAAAAGGATCAATACAAGGATCAATATAAAAATAAGATGGATCACAAGGAAGTAAAGTTAACATAAGTCAGAGATGATGGAAGTGGAGATATATACATAGAGATGTAAGGGTGTGGGAGAAGGGATGAGAGAGAAGAGAGGGAAGAGGGGAAAAAGGAAAAGGGGGATCTCTCCCGGTTTTCTATCTCGCTGATTTCAGTCGGTGAGCCGACATGCACGAAAGCTCCCCAGCATCATCCACGTAGTCATCATCCACAGATAGAAGAAGAAGAGTCTTTCCAGTTTCTCTCTGACCGAAGGACGCTAAACATTTTGGTTCTTTCGGGAGTTCTATATCGAATTAAAATTAAAGAACAACATTATGTTAGAAACCATGGATCGATCTATCGATCTTCGTTAACGATCCAAGCTTGGACTTTTGAACAAAAAAAAAAAAAAAAAAGAAAAAACAAGAAAACAAAATCAATCAGTGTTTGATTCACTTGTGTTCGACTCTCTCAAAGTGAAGTGCAGACTAAGTGAAGTCTATCTTAGGATCATCAAAACGGATTCTACTATTAGAAAACTCAATAAATTAGGTATGTGTGTGTATATTAGAAAATTTCTATGACATTTCTAATCGTTCGATTCGAACGATTTTATCTATTGTATCAAATAGGAAGTATGAACAACAATGGACATTGACTTTTAAGTTATTAAGAGAGTTCATTGACAGATCTTCTTAGGTGATAAAGATCTAGGTATAAATATAAGATTTATGATGGATGATGAGAAGGGTTGGGGGAGGGTGTAAGGTAAGCCAGATGACAGGGTCGACAGTCAACGCATAGCGATGCAACATCGGACACGCGGAACAGCACATCCTCGGCTAATTAGAATATAGCTGTTTTTTATGAGCGTGGAAGAGGAAGAGGGAGCCAATGGATGAATACGGTGGAAGAGAGGGGAGGGTCACCCATGATCGTGATATTTATTACACGGACCCCCTGCCGGACATTAGTATTTAACTCTGCTTCTATACTAGCAAATACTGGTGGAGGCCTTCACCCTTCTTTGTTCAGGTGGTTGGAACAAGCCACCATTTCTAGAAATCTTTCTTATTCTTTCCTAGAGAAAGAGAAAGAATTTGTTTGTGAAATATTTTCATATAAATAATACAAAAATGTGTCTTCTCATCAGTTCACATCGTCTCTTACATTTGTTCGATCTTTTCAATGAATTTTATATTCTTTAAGATTACCAATCGACCTGATAAACTTCCGGTTAATCATATATCTCCCTCATCGAGAGAGACTGTCCAATGTCTTACTAAACGAGCGATAGTGATTGAGGTACAATGCCAAGCGTACTGTAATTATTTAATAGAAGATAAGAAGGTCTACTAGATCTATTTTAGCTTCGAATCCATGGTTAAATGTTTGACCATGAAAGTTGACAAATTTTTTCTTTTTCTTCTTCCTTATTTCTCTTTTTTTTTTGGATTCATTCGCCATGGATTGACCCAGTTTTTCGCGACACTTAGAACAATGAGTAGCGTTTAACTATACCGTTCTGAAGTGCATTGAGATAATTATTTCTTTGCATCGTCTTTGACCGAAATGAATAGTTTCCTTTTCCGTAGATTTTCATTCTAATGACAGGATTCAGGAAAACGTTTCTTAAGATCGTTCAATCATCGAATGATCTTGATTGCACAGGTACGGTGTTATGTACAAAGATCAGCATCCTACGTAAGAACGCTTTCTCAGGGGTCAGGTGAAGTGGTTGGTGAAGATTCAAGATAATTGAACAGTATAATTCATTAGTAGTCCATTCGCAAAAATGACGGAAACATCTAGAGAAGCTGATGTGCCTGACTCGGAAAATCCTGATAATGCGAGCACGTCTTTGAATTTAGCATGTACTCCTGCTAATAATGGCAAACCACTTCCGGATCGTGGAACGTGGAGTACCAAATTGGATTTCATTCTTAGCGTGGTAAATACAAGAACAATATTATAGAACAAAAGTTAATTAATTAATATATATCATCAAAAATTATTTTCATTTTCAAGGTTGGACTGGCCATTGGACTCGGTAATGTATGGCGTTTTCCTTACCTCTGTTATAAAAATGGAGGTGGTGCTTTCTTGATCCCATATTTCTTAACATTGGTACTAGCTGGTATACCAATGTTCTTTATGGAATTAGCTCTCGGTCAAATGTTAACAGTCGGCGGTTTAGGTGTTTTTAAAATTGCTCCACTTTTTAAAGGCATCGGTTATGCCGCTGCTGTGATGTCCTGTTGGATGAACGTTTATTACATTGTTATTCTTGCATGGGCGATATTTTATTTCTTTATGTCCATGCACAGTGGTTAGTATAACATTATAATTCTTTCTTATATTAAAATTATTTAAAAAATTGTATATCTCTAATTTTGTTCTTTCTTTTTTAGAATTACCTTGGGGTAGCTGTAATAATTACTGGAATACAAAATATTGCGTAAATCCTTATGATAGAAGTTCGTTACTTTGTTGGGATCAAATGACAAGGAATCACAATGTAATTAAGATGTGTTCTGTTAATCAAATGAATGTCACCATCAATGAACTCACAGATCCTGTAAAAGAATTCTGGGAGTGAGTAGGATGATAATGCTCATTTAGAAAAGAAATAAATAAAGAAAGAAACACGAAGAAAATTAATATATCATTTCCTATGTTCATAGACGTCGAGCATTACAAATTAGTGATGGAGTAGAGTATGTAGGTACTATACGTTGGGAATTAGCTGGTACTCTACTATTGGTATGGATTTTATGTTACTTTTGTATCTGGAAAGGCGTAAAATGGACTGGCAAGGTAGTTTACTTCACTTCACTCTTCCCTTACGTTTTACTTACGATTTTATTAATTCGTGGGATTACTTTGCCTGGTGCAATGGAGGGTATAAGATTTTACATCAGTCCAAATCTATCAAAATTAAAAGAGTCCGAGGTAAATTAAAATAAAAAATGTAAGATGTTATTAAATTTTTCTTCTGATTATTAAAAATTTAATTGAAAAAAATTTAATAGGTATGGATAGACGCAGTTACACAAATTTTCTTTTCCTATGGACTCGGTCTTGGAACATTGGTTGCTCTTGGTAGCTACAACAAATTTACCAACAACGTTTACAAGGATGCCCTGATCGTTTGCTCGGTAAATTCATCGACCAGCATGTTTGCTGGCTTTGTCATCTTTTCGGTTGTTGGCTTCATGGCTCATGAACAACAAAAACCTGTAGCCGAAGTTGCTGCTTCAGGACCAGGATTAGCTTTTCTTGCATACCCTTCTGCAGTCCTTCAATTACCAGGTGCACCTCTCTGGTCCTGTCTTTTCTTCTTTATGTTACTTTTAATTGGTCTGGATTCGCAATTTTGTACTATGGAAGGGTTCATCACTGCAATGGTAAACTCTTGTTTGACAATTTTTTTATTTATTTATTATTCGAATAAAATAGATATTTATTATTTTTATAAAATAGGTAGACGAATGGCCTCAGTTATTACGTCGACGTAAAGAAGTGTTTATTGCGATAGTCTGTGCTTTATCTTATCTCATTGGACTCTCATGTATTTCGCAAGGTGGAATGTACGTCTTCCAAATCCTGGACTCTTATGCTGTATCTGGATTCTGCTTACTCTTCCTGATATTCTTCGAATGTATCTCGATCAGTTGGGCTTTCGGGGTGAACAGATTTTACGATGCTCTTCGGGATATGATCGGTTATTATCCTCTAATGTGGTGGAAATTTTGTTGGACTATAACAACTCCGATGATATGTGTCGTGAGTACTATAAATGTTATCAAAGAAAATCTTATGTTGCACATAGTAGTTTGATTAATATTTATATAGGGAGTTTTTGTCTTCAACTTGGTGCAATGGACACCGGTAAAATACTTGGATTATGAGTATCCTTGGTGGTCACACGTATTGGGATGGTTTACAGCATTATCGTCTATGCTTTGCATACCAGGATACATGTTATATGCATGGATGAAAACACCAGGTGATAACAGTACGGTAAGTCAGAGATATCAAAATTAAAATGAACAAATAGTAATAATAGAATTGTACACTTGTTTTTTTTTTGTTGCAGAAATATAAATTGTTAATTCGAATAGAAGATGATGTTGCAGCGTTACGAACAAAAATGGGTCAACCATCGGTCGAATTAACACCACTTTAAAATGTTTAGTCCCTGTTTTTCTCAATTACCTGGATCACAGGGATCTATTTTGACCTTATGAGATATGAGGAGAAAGAACGCAACACTGCCGTTCTCGTTGCTTCCAAAAAGTTTCAACGCTTTATGCGTATGACAATTGAATCGGCTTATTAACTAGCCAATCTTGTAGGTAATATGTCGATCTATCGCGAACAGTGCAATATAAACAATAACAAATGATATTAATAGCGCTATTTGTTATTATTACTTCGGACATATTGGAAAGGACGAGAATTCTGCTTCTATTATTAATCGTTGGCGTTAAAACTCTTGTAAAAAGTTGTGTAAAAAAAAGGAAGAGTGTGTTATATCTAATGTAGGCATATGCCAACAAATAATATATACACGTATCTTTATGTGCAATGTACTCATAATACGTTATTAGTTTGAGTTGCACTTGTATGCTCTTTAGGTTGAGAATTTAGTACCTTTAGAAAGATCAATATATGTGTGTGTGTATATATATATGTATATATATATATGTATATATATATATGTACACATAAACATACACACGTATAGAGTTATATTACATAAACGTAGGTATATAGGATATATAGATGTGTATGTATAAAAAGAATAATATATGTCAAAAGTTAGATTTAGTACGCTTATAAGATCGCATAAAGAATTATTAAGAAGAAAAATCAAAAAACAAAAAAAAAACAACAAATAATTTATTCGTTATTGTTTATCACACTTAATTGTTCTATTTGAGTTTTAACACCAATCGTGAAAGAGTAAATGAAATGACAAAAAAAAACCAACAATAAAAAAGAAAAGGCAAACTTCAATTAAAATCATTACTTTACTGTTGAGTATAATCAAAAGAAATAGTACATGTATATGCATATGTATATGCATCCGTAATGTGTTCATATAATGAATATAAAATGATGATCATTTGTGGATCGACGTTTAGACGATCTCCATTTCGAGTATTTCTTTCTTTTTGTTTCATTTTTTCGAAAAAATACAAAATATAAGACGAATAGAAAAAACATTCACTTAATTCGATGAACATTCAATGCAACTGTTATTAAATTCGATTTCGATTTTAGCATATTGTATGTACGACAAAAATATCTTAATCTGTTATTTATTATTTCATTAGATCGATAATTTGATCTATTTCAATTTAGAAATTAAATCATGACGCGCTTAATACAAATCTCGGTTTAAATTTCGCGCCAAAATAGAATGGGCCATTTGGCTTGTCGCATACGAAATATTATTTATTGCAATAATACTACTTTATAACTATTATTATTATTATTATTATTATTATTATTATTATTATTATTATTATTATTATTATTGTTATTATTATTATTATTATTATTATTATTATTATTATTATTATTATTATTATTATTATTATTATTATTATTATTATTATTGCTAATATTATTATTAATCCTTTCATTTATTATTAATATTTATTATTAACAACGATCTTTTTTTTTTCAATGACTTTTTTTTTGAAACTTTAGTCTTTTCTATATATCTTATTATATTTATTACGACATCGAGATCTTTACATCGGTTGTTCGTTTTTATTTTTTATTTCAATCATTAAGTTTCATTCCGCATAAAAAAATTTTAATTTCCAAGAGACATATTGAGATATACGATCATAATATCAATCTACATTGATGCCTCCAGTACATGCTGTTAACGAAAATGTTAATTAATCAGTATAATTGGATTTAAAAATAGCATTGTTTTATCCATATGAATTGTATTACAAAGACACGTCGAATAAATTTTTATGATTATGTAACTCGGTAGAACAATGATAATAATCCTTCACTTTTTTAAATTTGCGAAAATACTATAAAAGTAAAGGTAATAATTAATTCATGGTAAAACATAAAAGCTCTTGCATAATAACCTTATAAATTATTTGATTTATCCGATAATGATTTGAATGAAAAAGAAGAATATTTCTATAAATCAAATAAAATCGCGGAAAAAAATTATACTGATGTTATTCGTAAACAGAAAAAACATTGTCAATTTTTATTGAACGTATTTTTTCGGACTGTATATTTTGTGCAAGTGTGTAATATGTTCTGTCATAATCAGATTTTACATAACCTATATATTTTGTATAAGTATATAAAATAACCTGTCAAGCAAATAATCCAAACCCCTCCAAAAAACTCAGTTATATATTATTCCTATTGTGTTATTTAAAACAAAAAATAGCATTAATAATATATCTAATGCTAATAATAATAATAATATATCTAATTTATCACATTGGATGAAGATTTTGATCTAAATCAATCTTAAATTAATTTAAATTAAACTAAAGTAAATAAATCAAAACATTTTTTATTTATTTATCTTTATATTCTGTATTCTATATTCTAGTGATCAGTCTCTACATAGATTCTCTAGTAAAAAATTAAACATTCTAAAATATAATTTCTTTTTTTCTTAAATTTTATTCTGTTTTTCAATCCAACCATCTCATATAAATTGCATCTACTCTTCTTTCTTTACAATCTAACATTCTTTTATATAGATTATACAACACTCTTGATTTGATAGGTTTTTCTCTTAAGTTCTAGAGAGGATGCTTCTTTGATAAGACATAGAAATTGTAATGTAAATTGATTCTTGAGATTTATATTTACAATAATATTTTTGTTTATTGAGATATAAATATAACATAGAGAGTATTAGTTATTGTCATATGGATCAAATATATAGATTAAAGTTAAATTATACAGTTATTTAGCCAATTAGAAATATTGTATAAGTTACCTTTAATAAATTCTTACGTTTCTTGTTATTTCTTGATTTAATAAATTCTTAAGTTTTTTGTTATTTCAGACAACGGATGATATAAAAATAGATAGTATTTATATGTTCGTCATCTTGAATTGATGTTGACAGAATTTAAATAAAACCTTCATAATTATACACAATTAATGTTAATGATAGTAATTATTTAAATTATTATTAATTATTTTAATTTACATTATGCACATAAAAGTAATTCCATTTACTTTTATTTACTACATTTTATTAAGTTATATTCTTACATCTAATAAGCGAACTTTTTTACTTTTATACTACAAAAAATAGTGAAAATTGAGCAAAGATGTTGAAAAAGCATAATGCGATTAGTAAAGTTCAACTGAAAATCTTTACGAGTATGAAGCTTGGTAAACTATTTGATCTACTAAACGTGGCAAAAAAGTTTTTTTTTATATATTTCTTTATCATTGAATATAATTTTTATCTTTGAAAATATAAAAGTATTTAAAAATCATAATCATTATCTTGAAATTGCATTTTTTCGATATTTTAATTCATTTAAACCTTAAAAAAAATGAGATATAAAAGATTAAGATTACAAGAATTTACTATCTCGACCAATCAGAAAACTAAGTTTACACTAAGTTTCAATTAACACTAAGTTTCTCGAATTTCTATTCGTCGATAAATATAATATATGATACATTTAGTTGATGTTTGATGGCGCTCGATTTTATTTACTACTCGGGTCAATTCGGTTTTTTTCGACTTCGTTCGACTCAGATGGCGATTCGAAGGTAGGCGGATTGTATGATAATCGGTGTTTGGGCGGGGGCTCTATTGATTTAAATCTGTCGGTGCGCGTGTCAGTAATAAAGGTGGTTACCGTTTATTATAGAAGACGACACGAAACGACACGAAGCATCCGGAAGTGGTTGCCGAAAAATATATTATAAAGTGAAACAGTATCTTTTTTGTTTGTGTTTTCTTCCATCATATCTTGAGACACGTTTATTTAACATGTCGAACAAAATAAATACGATTACTTCGACGATATCAGAAAATAAATCAGAATCTACTGTTCCAAAAAACAGGTAAAATATATACACACACACATATATATATACATATATATATATCTCGTACAGGATTTCACTTTTTCTTTCACTCTCTATTTCTATCATTTTTATTATACAAAATAATTTATATTATACAAAGAGGTCATAGTGTAATAAAAAAATATCGTTCAACTTAGCCACGCCTCAAACTTAATACATGGAAATAAAAAAATTATTTTACATTAATGTCTCATGACTATTTATATATATCATTGAAATTCATCATTATTTAACCTATAATAGCAAGGTAATGTTTTATTTATAATCACATTTTTTTGCTCTATATCTGATTTATCTTTCCTGTAACCATTCGAAGATTCAAAGTTTCTTAAGCTGAATTTTTATATCTAAAGTTTATAATGTATTAAAGTATACACATATATATATACATATATATATAATACATATACGTATGTATGTTGGTATAAATTAATTTCGTAATGAGAATTGTTATCGAATTGCAAAGGTTAGATTGTTGATCTTGACATTTGAGAAATGTTAGAAACTTATCTAAATAATTCAAATACAATTTATTTATATTGATTGTTTCTAAATTATTTTCCCTCGTTTTATTTTAGATCGGTGATGTTCGATCGATTTCGGTTATTGTCGTTGATGAAAGTTATTTACTTTATACATAAGTAAACACGATGGAGGGCGCTCGAGAAAATATGACGCGACTAATTCGATGAAGAATTTTCTGAATTAATTTTATATTCTTAAATTTGCGAACTTTCGATTCCTTGATTATTAATATATATATATATAATATATATATATAATATATTGATTATTATATATATATATATAATAATATTAATATTATTAATATATATATATATATATATTAATAATATTAATATATATATATATATATTAATAATATTAATATATATATTAATAATTAATATATATATATATATATATACAATAATATGTATACAAATTATATATATATATATATATATATATATATATATATATACGATAATGAAATAATATTTATAATTTTTGTTTTATCATTTTTTAGGCAAGACGTTTTGAAGTGGAATGGTTGGGGTTATAAAGATTCAAAATTTTGCCTTAATGACAACAATATTATCGAATTCATCGGTGACAGGTATTATTTGTAATATCTCTTAAGAATAATTTATAGAAAGTAGATAAATATTAATTAATATTTAACCCTTTACGGCCGGCATTGCCATGGACGAGAGTTATTGATGCACGCAGTTGAGAAAATATGCACGTTAAACGTTTGTGTTATAAAAACTAAAAGCAAATCTCTAATTTTCTTTTAAAAGAAAAATAATACTGTTTAGTTTACTATACTTATAGTTATATTATCGCTCAGAAAGAAAGACGTACTCGAGTCGCTTTATAATACGTGTCTGTAACTGTGAACAGACTTACTTGGGCGGCTATTTGCTGACCCTGACTGCAAAGGGTTCATAAAGAAAAGTATAGAGAAAAAAATGAGCACATTTATCTATTCATGATCTGCTAAAAAGTATATTTACTGTTTCTGACATTACATGAAAAAGAGAATAGATCATTAATCTTAATTGGTATGTATTGAATGTACAAAAGAAGGTAGTCACTGAAAAATGAATACGAGTTCTGATATTACATAAGTATAAGGAAATATCGAATATTTAAACATTTATTTTACAGGTCTCGTCTGATATAATAAGATACAAATTTTAACCAAACATTATTTTTTTAACGTAACAATATTTATCAACTAGATTTCTATTTAGCGTAGAAATTTATTCTAAACATATTTTTTCTTTCGTTCATATTTACAATACATTCAAAATACATTAGCATAAATTAGAATCTTATTACTCTAAACAAATATTGAAACTTCTTATATGACATACTTTTCCATGTTTGAAGTTTTCTATGAATTTTTACCATGTACAAATAAATTTCTTTTACTTAACATTCTGTATTTTTAAAGTAAAAGAAGATATTTATATTATGTATTTTCTTTACAATTTTTTTTTTAATTTTTTTAGTTCCAAAGTATTCAAATTTCTTTTACTTAACATTCTGTATTTTCAAAATAAAAGAAGATATTTATATTATGTATTTTCTGTATAATTCAAAAAAAATTTTTTTAGTTCCAAAGTATGAATATATTATATCATGATTATGTTAATGACAGTAATAATAATAAAAAGATACAAAGGTTTTTTTTATGACTTTTCAACGTAAAAAAAGAAGTTAGAAAAAAATAGATATAATAGTAGGAAGTAGTAAAAGAAAAATGATAAATGTTAGTTCTTACTGATAACTCATTTGTATAGGCAGCGACTTAGGAAAAATAAAAAAAAATAAGATAAATTGCATTTTTTTGCCCTCGATGGAAGTCACTTTAAGCTTTCTTATATTCCAGCTGATAGCGGAAGTAGCAGTTTTTAACTAATCAGATTAGAGTGTTGGAGAACAAAAGGCGTTCTCAAGTTAAACATCTATTTGTGGTAAGCAAAGTGCTTCTGATTTTAATCTTAAAAACGTTGCTGCCTCTACAAATAGTCTGATAAACCTTTATAATCAATTCTAATCTTGATGTATCAAGTATGAGGAATATAACGTATCATATTATTGGTAATCTCTCTGTAAATTTTATTTATTTATCTATTTTATTTTCTTTAGATATCCCATTAGTAATCACAAGCTGCCATATTTCACTCAATGGGTTAAAGATGTATTCAATGTGGACTTCAATTTGAAAATCACATCACAAGATGTACCAACAGATTTCCCAGAGTCAATTATTTCAACAGAATTATTGGATTCTATCAATAGGCTCAATATCGATCATTCGTTGAAAGGAATAGATCGATTGATCAGAGCACATGGTCACACTTTAAGAGAAATCTTTGTTCTTAGATATGGAATGTTTAAAAGAATACCAGATATCATTCTTTGGCCAAGTAAACCTTATTATACTCCTGCTGTTTACTATTCTTGTGTAATATGTAATTATATCTCTCTATATAATTTCATTTTTCTTAGAATGTCACGAAGATGTTGTCAAGATTGTGAAAATTTGTGCGGAATATCAAGCTGTTTGTATCCCTTTCGGTGGTGGAACTAGCGTTAGCGGTGCTGCTTGGTGTCCAACGACAGAACGTCGAACGATAATTTCATTAGATACCACACAAATGAATAAAATATTATGGATTGACAAAGAAAATTTAATAGCTTGTGCGCAAGCTGGTATCATTGGTCAAGATCTAGAACGTTTATTACGTAAACAAGGTTTAACCTCGGGTCACGAACCAGATTCTTACGAGTTTTCAAGGTAAAATAATAAATATGAGTTATTCTTTGTATTTTACATCAATTAAAAATTTAAAAAAAAAATCACTTTTATTTGAAGGTAATTTGTTATTCTAGATATTTCGTTCTAGATATTTCATATGTATAAATTTTGGTTTACGTTACAGTCTAGGTGGATGGGTAGCAACTAGAGCAAGTGGTATGAAAAAAAATACTTATGGAAATATCGAAGATTTAATCATACGTGTCCGAATGGTCACTGGTCGAACCGAAGATCTTGAAATTACTTTGGAACAAGGATCGTTAGTACCTCGTTCATCTTGCGGACCAAACTTTGATCATATAATACTTGGTAGTGAAGGTACTTTGGGCTGTATTACAGAAGTTATTTTTAAAGTCCGTCCTTTACCAAGGGTAACCAAATATGGAAGTATAGTTTTCCCCGACTTTCAGAGTGGATTCTTGGCAATGAGAATGGTAGAAATTTCTTTTCTATATAACGTATATAATCTTCCTTAAAATTCCAAATCAATTTTGTTCCGTAAATTTCAGATAGCTAAAGAACGTTGTCAGCCATCAAGTATACGACTAATGGACAATGATCAATTTCAGTTTGGTCAAATATTACGTCCGGAATCAAGTTGGAGTAGTTCGATATTAGACAGTCTAAAACATGCATATATCACAAGAATAAAGTGTTTTAAGTGGGATAGGATTTGCGTAGCTACGCTTCTCTTTGAAGGGAGCTCTTCAGAGGAGATTACAGCTCAAGAGAAAAAGATTTATAATATTGCTAAATTTTATAATGGTATACCTGGTGGAGAAACGAACGGCGAACGTGGCTACACTTTGACTTTCGTTATTGCATATATACGTGATCTTGGTTTGGAGTATGGTATTGTGTCAGAATCCTTTGAGACATCGGTCGCTTGGAATCGTACTTATTCCTTGTGCTGTAATGTTAAATCTCGAGTAGCCAAAGAATGTTATGCTCGAGATATAAAACATTTTATGATATCTTATCGCATAACTCAAACCTATGATGCAGGTTGTTGTGTCTATTTTTATATGGCGTTAAATTATATTGGTCTGGAAGATCCTATAGGATCTTACGAAAAGATCGAGGAAGCAGCTAGAGAAGAAATATTAGCTAGTGGAGGCTCTTTATCTCATCATCACGGTGTTGGTAAATTAAGAGCTTCATATTATCCAGAAGCTGTTGGACAAGCAGGTGTTTCTCTTTACCGTGCCGCCAAAGCTCATCTAGATCCGTATAATATATTTGCCTCGAGAAATCTAGATCCTGATTATAAAAGTAAACTATAATATTGATATATTATTTTAATCAAATAATCGTATGGAATTTAAAAGAGAATTGTCGTAAGCACACGAAATGATATATCAATCATGACAGTGCCCATTAATTTACCAAGACGTATTTCGTGATATAATAAAAATATAAAACGCTCGTGATGATACCAGAGAGAAAAAAAAACAAAGCAAATAATTAAAAATAGAGAATTGTAAGCGTTTCTCTCTCACGATAGAAAGTAATAAGGTTGTATAAAGAGTTAGCAATCATAATTGTTGTATAATTGTACGGACTTAGTGTACAATATATAAATAATAATAATTACGCCTACTGGTGTTACGTGGTAGTACAAATACGAAATTATATATATATATATACATATATATATATAATTGTATTGAGATTTTTATAAATTAATATAAATAAACTAAAAATTTACTTATCTTGTTACATAATAATCAATACAATCATTTTATAACTTACGTCACTATGTCCGTATCGTTTTATTTAAAAAAAGACAACGTTTACTATTATACTTAAGTTGATCTATTTTCGAGATCGATTATTAATTAATTACTCGATCATTTGACATGGCCTATACGATGATGCTTTCTCTCACTCTCTCCCATGATAGATCTCCTTTTATATTTTATATACAATTTCTAATAATTGTACTTTTAAATATATAATATATTCAACGATGAAGGATTCATCGGACGTATATATGACATGCTGTTGCTGTTGCTATTGCTATTGCTGTTGCTGTTGCTGTTGTTGCTGTTGTTGTTGCTGTTGCTATTGTTGTTGCTGTTGCTGTTACTTATTGGCAATCAGCCTTTAAAGTAGATAAAAATGTATCGAGATCATATTCGTCATCATACTGTTGTTGCTCCCACAGTTCGGGTAATATCTCAAGTACTGAACGATTAACACCTTGTACGCACGGAACTTTAGATATTCCAATATTTTCTTGATTCTCAGATTTTTTTCCTTTACCATTGTCCAAAGAGAATAAGTCAAGTAACTGTAAAATAGAATTTAATATTGTAGATTAAAAAAGAAAAAAAAATGGAAAGAAAAAATAAGGGATCGACAAGTTTATACCTGATCAGTAGCCATAGTCTCCAGAGAAGCATTTTCTGTAGAAATCACTGTATTGGCAGTAAGTAATTTAAACTTTTGTAACCCCATAATTTTTTCCTCTACCGTAGACCTAGTAATAAGACGATAGACATTGACAACTTTTTTCTGACCAATACGATGAGCTCGATCCATAGCCTGAAGATCTTTCATAGGATTCCAATCATGTTCAACGAAAATCACGGTATCAGCACCGGTCAAATTTAATCCTAAACCACCAACTTGAGTCGTTAATAACAGAACGTCTATCGAAGGATCAGCATTAAAACGTGCAACAACGGAATGCCTTTGAGTAGCTGGTACACTTCCATCAAGACGTAAATATGTGACAGTCGGTAGATGAGTTCTAAGCAGGTCTTTTTCTACGATATCAAGCATTGCTTTTAATTGACAAAATATAAGAACACGGTGTTGGCTAACTAATTGTTGCTGAGTGTGTTGATTGTCACTAGTAGTACTAGCTGATGAATTTCTACTCTGTTGAGATTGTCCGATACCACAGTCTAGTAATAATTGTTTTAAAGCTGGTAACTTTGCTCCATGTTCGATATCAGCTAATGTAGTTTGCTGTTGTTTCAATGTATTGCATACCTAATAATGAAGATCACAATGAGAGTAATCAAAATGAATAATAATGAAGATTTTATTCATTAACATGCTATTACTCACTGTTTGATACAGAGGATGTTTTGGACTTAACACTAGCTTAGGATGATTACAGACATTACGCAAGTAACGTATTGCTTCAAAGACATGACCACCATGAGGATCACTTGCAGATGCACATGATACGTTAGTGATAAAGGCAGCAGAATGTCGTGTACGAAAATCTTCATAAAGATTACGTTGTAATGGCGAAAGATCGCAATAATAATCTTGCGTAATTTTAGGTGGTAAATCTTGAAGAACATCTTCTTTGTTTCGTCTTAATAAAAATGGTAATACCTAATAATATATTAAGATTTATATCACATACATGTTATGAGTTTTTATACAGGACGTTTTATTGAGCTGATGGAATAGGTTACCTGTCTATGAAGAGCTTCCATTGCTAAAGCACCAGCTTCCTGTTCTTTTGGGCCAGCTTTAGGTTCTCTGCAAGCTAATATAGGACGAGAATACTTTGCTGCAAATTGTTTTTCGCTACCAAGAAAACCTGGCATTAGAAAGTCAAAGAGAGACCATAATTCGAGTACATCGTTTTGCACTGGCGTTCCAGATAATATCAGCCTATGATTAGCACGCAAACGTTTAGCTGCTTGGGCACTTTTTGTCTTTCCATTTTTTATTACGTGACCTTCGTCAAGCACACAATAATTCCATTGAAGTGCTTCAAAAAATTCGATATCCTTTCGTATAATATCGTAACTTCCTACAATCAGTCTATGTTGAGAAATACGTGGTCTTAATTTTTCACGTTCTGGAGGTGTACCAGCATATTGAATAACTGATAGATCCTGGCTTCGGAAAAATTTTTCTGCTTCATACACCCAATGACCTGTTAATGTGGGTGGACATACTACTAAACTAGGTGGTGCCTGTGTATTACGATGATGATCCAAAGCTAATATACAAAGAGTTTGTAAAGTCTTGCCAAGACCCATGTCATCACATAGAACACCATGTAAGTGATAACGGTTTAAGAAATCCAACCAGTTTAATCCTTGACGTTGATAACTACGTAATTCTGCTTCTACAGGAATTAATAATTCCGTATCTGGTATACTCCGAGGATTTAACAGTTGTTCGAGGAATTTTCGTTCTTGAGCTTTCTCCTCTCTATAACATTAGAAATATATATAGATATTTTCTACAGGTATTTATTTTTATAATAATATAATTAATATCTTACACTAAGTCAGGTGGATCTGCAATTGCACCGGGATCAAGTGGCAACAATTGTACTAACGTTGCAAACGTTGCACTGCAAACCAATCTTACGGCTTGATTTTGATCGCTCATTCTACCAAGCAGAGGTACCATAAAAAGTACAGAATATGGAATGACATTGACGCCTAAGGTTTCTATTATACAGGCCAACGCTTCAGCAGCACCTTGTCTCATCAAATCTACTTCATTTGGAGCAGTAAGAATTTTAGATTGACTTCTTTCTTTGCCACTAGCTTCTAATAATGGTATCACATTACGTATCACATATTGCATAGTCTGAAATAAAATAATATCTTTAAAGTATATTATTACGTTTGTACACATTGAACTTATATATAAAAGAATAATAATTCATACTTTTTCTGCATCCACACTAGCTAATATAGCTATACATCGTGATGCCATGTGCCTAACAGCTTTATATGGGTTTGCCAATAAATCGCATAAACGAGATAAACACTCGAGAGCTGGTGGTAGCAGAGAAGAGTGTAAACTTGGAGCCATAATTTCAAGTACTTGTAATCCAGAAATAAGTTGATTAGCTTCCTCCTGAGAATTCTTAGGAAGAACATCTTCTGATCCTTGTCGTAATATACTTGGTAGAATTAAATCCCAAAGATGGGGTAAACGTGAAGGTAATTGAACACCAAATAATTTTGCTAGATTTAGAAATTACGTTAAAGATCCAGTTGTTAAATAGGCGGCTCGGATGAATTAGAAAGAAGAGAATAATAAATATATTAAAAATATTACCTAAAGCTGTAAGAGCTAACGTAGCTCCACGACGTCGTGTTCTAGCAGCTTTCGCTTCAGGCTCTTCACAAGCAAGTAATTCTTCCAATGGAATTTCAGTTATAGGTGGTCTACCTGGGCCTCTTCCTCCACCAATTCCACTTCCTGCTCCACGATTATAAGCTATTCTTTCGGCATGTTTTTGTCTATTATTCAATGTAAGAATACCGTCGAAAGTGTCACTATCTTTTGCGTTTGTCACTCTCGGTGTGAACTCACTGTCTGAGCACAGAAATGTGCACAAATTAGTTGATATCTATAATAGGTAAATGAAATTTAGAAATTCTTGATTAATTAAAACGTTAATTTCAAATAAGAAAAATACATGAATATACCTTTGTATTTGGCGAAGGACTTCTATCGACACAAAGATCAACGAGATGAGCTAAATGTTTAGCAGCTAATTTCTGTAATTCTTCGTTCTCTTCGCGTTTGATAGCTTCCATTAATGGTTTAACGATTGGATTTAATGGCTGTGGAGCTTCCGGTAGACAATGTAACATAGTAGCAGCTCCTGCTAAAGCAGCCATCGACATAATATTCAATGATTGTTGTTGTGTCGCTGTTGTAGCGGCACCAACTTCTAAAGCTCGCCTCCTTTCTTCTAAACTTTCCACCAATTTGGGTTTCAATTTAATCCCAATTCCATTTCCACCACCGCCACCAACGGCTGAGGTTGCAGTTGATCCTCCTGCACTACTGATGGCACAAAGTTCTAAGATAGGTTTTCCAGCGAGTATTGCGATTTGATCGAAAGTCATTACGCCCGAAGAATCCACTTCGACGGGTACATTCAATTTGTAATGTTTCAAAGTTGCAAAGTAATCACGGCTTTCATGCAACAAACGTGTAAATGACGTAGCAATTTCATCGTAATATATACATTCGGTTAAACATTGCAATAGTCTATCCCTTTAAGAAAAAATAATATCATTGTCTTTATTATTAATTATTACGTTCAATTCTGGCGAAAACTTATGAAATTTGATTTTCATACTTAAGTATGTCGGGTATTACAGGTGGATTAGATTCTTCAACGACAGCCCAATGAGACATAGTAAGACCTGCAACTGTCCGCTGTAACGCTGATCGTGAATTAAGATGTGCCAATAATACTTTAGCATAACATACAGCTGGACTAGGAATGTCTGGCGTATAAATGACGCCTGGTGCTGGTTGAACTATATAGTGAGATAAAAGTCCAAGCATCCGTGCTGCTTTGCAACGTGCTTGTACTACGTTAGCGTGTCTGAGATTTTGCGCTACAGTTTCAATTCCGCCAATATATACTTTTAGCTCTGTAGAAGATTTTACACTGCCACTAATACTATTGCTTCCACCGTTGCTACTACAGTCCGATTGTCCATCACAGTTACCTATTTGATGGTTACTTTTTGTCCCCTTGCCAGGAGAAGCCACAGTCACTAATAAATTTGGATTAAATGGCACATGCTCTGGTTGCATAGTTAGGCAAAGCCATGTGCTAACTAAGGGACAAGCTGCATGCAGTAGAAGTTCAAGATCACTTTGTATGACTAGATTTTCCCAAACACATACGGCTACGTCTTGGATCGCGGTAACGTGTTCGATTAAGACACGTTGAAAGACATGACGTAAAGCTTCTTGTAATATGATTCCACCGCCTATACCCCATCTTTCTTTTTTATCTTCGCTTAGATTACCATCATCTCCAGTCAATGTTTGTAATGTTTGTAAAGTAGCTTTACGTACGCTTGAACTTGAATGGCTAAGAAAAGGCCATAATCTTGGTAATACCTATAAAAATATATATAAGTTAATACGATATCATTGATAAATTCTATGAGAGTATTGCTGATAATAAGAATATTTTATAAAAACTATGCCAATAACGAATACTACCTGTGATAATGGTTGAGGTGTAATAGAAGCACGTGCAGCTGGTAACGAAAGTATAGCAGCTAACAGACCCATAAAACTGTTGCATGCAGCTGCCAGTTCATCCTGTTCACGCAATAATTGCCAAAGTCGCGTTACTATTGCTTCCAATTCTGGAGGCTTTAATAATCTTGGTAAAGCAGATGCTACTGGTATGAGAGCACTTGCCGCAGCGGCACCTACATCGTCTACCGGATCGGAAAGACCTTGCATAATAGCAGGAAATACTTTTAGTAATACTTCATCTAATAGATCATCACGTACAGCCAGTAAATATTTCAATGCTAACAGAGCACCATGTCTAGCTTCCCATTCATCGTATCCTAAAAGCTTCAATACGATAGAAAGTATTCCCATAATACCGTTATTATTAACTTTGTCATCTTTATCTTTTGGTATTAACAATAAGAGAGAACCAAGTGCTTGTGCACAAGTTTCTCTGACAGGAGCAACAACTTGATCCGATACGAAGTCACCAAAACGATCAAGACCTAGTACACATAAAAGCCTTAAGGCTGCATCAATCACCCACTGATAATGGCTTTCTTTCATTTCTTCTATAGTTTGATCACGAAATTTTCCTGCACCTATATTAATATAAAGATGTATAATATTATACTATAAATATAAGAATTTTTTTTTTTTTTAATTAAAAAAGAAACATGTAATAATTACCTTTTCCATGAAGACGTACAAGCTCTCGCAAAGCAGTTGCTGCACCATGACGTACTTCCCACTTTTGACTAAATAAATCTTGACAAAGATTTTCTGCAAATGATTCTAAGGGCCAGTCAATTACAGAATCTGGCCAAGAACCAGTTCCATCTGGCACACCATTTACAATTTCGTTTGATACACTGCCAAGAGATCCTGTATTCGATGAGATCGTTTCCTCTAATTTAAATTTTTTATTTAATATATCTCCACTATTATTTACTACTGTATCTGATATCGTTACATTATCCGGAGGATCATCAGTCTCTCGTGATCGTTTAGATACTGTCTGTCGTGCCTATAAATAAAAATAAATGATCTTTTAATAATTCTTTATTTACTTTTTAATAATACGAAGAAGAATAATACAACACACAATTTATATAATAAGAATACCTTGCGTCTTGCTCTATTCATTTCTCTTCTGCTAAGTCCACCTGGTTGTTTTAATGTTTCTTCAATTGGTATTTTAGATGTTACTTCAGACACTGGAGAACATATCGCAGGTAAAAGATCATCAGAAGTAAATAGTTCTGATGTATCGATGCCCATTAATCGTGGATGTAAACCTAATTTGTCAGCAATCTTTTTATCTTGATTCGGAATATTAACTTGTTCACCCTCCGGTACAATTAAATCATATTCACTGCCCTCTGATCCAGTCAAATGAGAACTACGAGCTAGGATTTTTTCCATGTCAAAACTTTCTAAAGTCAGTTTATTACTGACTGTACGTTGTTTATCTGTGTTTGATTCATCTGTAGAATAATAGTACATAGTAAAAATAATATAAAATGATGTGAACAGAAGTAGGTATTAATATAGATAAAAATAGCAGTAAAAAAAATACCCTGGCATGATTTGTTTTCTACTGGTTCTGGATTCCAAGGAGGAACCTGAGTAAGTATAGCTTGCACTGCATGCGCAGCTGAAATCCTTGTGTCCCATTGTGGAGATTTCAAAAGAGTACAAACTCGTGCTAATAGATGATGAAGATCATGAGGATGTAATCTTTGTGCTTCTCCAAGTTGCTGAGCTGCTGCTCTTTTAGTCACTGCATTTGTGCCAGTTTCTAATAATATAAATAATCTGTCCAACCTAAGATAATATGAAACATTAAAAATTAACAGAGAGAATTTAAATCATTATTCCTATAAATATAAAATATTTAAATAGATAATCAATTTGGAATGTCATATATATTACCTTGATGTCATGATTATATATTATAAATAAAAACCAACTAAGATACCTGCAATGATAAAAAAGAACAATGTTTTTATATTTTTAATTTTTTGTTTTTTTTATAATATTCATTCCATTAAAATATTTTATTTGAGTAAGATATTATATTCTCCATTTTTCCTTTGAGTATACATAGTTCACAAAATGCATAACAATGTTATATATTTTATCCAAACAGTTATTATATGATTATAACAAGACAGCTGTATTTAATTCATAGAAAACAATAGAGAATAAATGACATATGAGAGAGTGCAATATTGACATGTTGAAATAAATATTCAATGAAAGAATTAATTTTAATACTGGGGTGGAGACTATACACATACATACACATATACTAACTGAACATACAAGACACTTTAAAAATTTCATTGATAGTGAAATATCACGCTAATAAAAAATATATAGAGGAGTAGGTGAAATTATAAGTGTAATATTCTCTATAGATAATTAATATCCCAAAGTATTATGAAATGTCTTGAAAAAGGCGCAATATGGACACGTAAATATGTAAATAGGAAAGGAGTATAAGTATACCTATTATAAAATACAATAATCTTCTGTCGTAGATTTCAAGCAACCCTCATCGCTGTTTCCCATTTATTCAATTCCTCGAAAGTTACATCACATTGCGCATTTAAAGAAAATTTACGAAAAGAGAGTCCATTTGCCAAATTTTTCAGAGAGAAACGCATGTTACAGGCATCAAATTTATACTGACAGCCATATTGCTGGTGAACCTGAGTTTTGTCCCTTGATTTTGCTCCTATTGGCGGATATACGATGAATCGTATGATAATCTACCAATCAACGTTTTAATTTCAACATAGTGCGTTGAAGTGCTACCAGGTACGTATTAACTTAATAAAACTTTCTATTTTTCGAATTTTAATCAATTGCAATAAATAATGGAATATCATTGATTTCTTTCAAGTCTAGGCCTTGAAAATAATATTTCTAAGAAATTGATACATATATGTATATGTATAAAAAGAAAAGATCGCATAATATTCTATAATTAAAATATATTTCAAATATTATAGACTGAGTAGTTTGATTATAAATGAGTAAAAGACTATAAATTCTTTGTAGTGAAGGTTCCCTTTCTTCATATAGTTCAGTTTCAATTTTTACCAATCACCTTATCATTCTATATTTGTGTTATATAGTAAAATTTTATTAAATGTTAATAAGATTTATATGTGATACAGATAGAAGCAGATTTAATTAAAACAAGATGGAAATACATATGCAAATTATATTTTTTTTAAAATGAGTCAAAATGATTAGTTATACATGAACAAACTTTATTCTTGGAAAAGTTCATATGCAGTCACTTCATCTTATTATATATTATTTTTAAATACATAAAGAATTTTAAAATACTATTAAAAGGATGAATATAATTGGAAATAATCCTTATAATTATTCTTGCAGTATAGAAAAAGTTAGCAACTTAAACTGTTAAAATAATGCTAACAATCAGAAATCATCTATACGATTACTTTAGGAAATATGGAGGAGATTTAAATTATTATCAAAAGAATGGAAACACTGAGAGATCATCATACATTAATTTCGTATATGCATAGAATGCTAAAGCATTATCAAAAGGATCAAACAAAATCTAAAAATAATTTATACAATTATAAAATAGAAATATTTATTTGGATAATGTTTTATAAGAATTAATTTATATGTAAAAATTGATTTTACAATTTCTTAAAACATTTTGTAACAATACATATTTGTATTATATTATACTTTTGTTTTATATATATATATTATATTACATTAAGTTATATTATATTAAATCTATTCTTATATGATAAAACAAATATTTATATAATTATCGAATATAATGTATTTTTCTAAGAATTATGTAGCCAGTATACAATATATATGGATAATATATATATATATATATTCATGGGTGCTTATAATCGGTCGTCATATCGTTGCAAAAATGCGCGATTTGTAACAGGAGCACATGAGAATAGTGGAGGTAGTTGTATAAAAAGGCGCGAAAATATAGTTTCGACTGCAACGCTAGATGGCGCCAAAAGTATAAAGGTATCTTAAGATAATTATTTAGTACTTGTTCCTTATGCTAGATGGCGCCAAAAGTATGAAGGTTTCTTAAGATAATTATTTAGTACTTGGTCCTTATGGTAGATGGCGCCAAAAGTATGTAGGTTTCTTAAGATAATTATTTAATACCTGGTCCTCATGGTAGATGGCGCCAGAAGTATAAAGGTATCTTAAGGTAATTATTTAGTACTTGGTCCTCGTGCTAGATGGCGCCAAAAGTATTTAGGTTTCTTAAGATAATTATTTAGTACCTGGTCCTCATGGTAGATGGCGCCAGAAGTATAAAGGTATCTTAAGGTAATTATTTAGTACTTGGTCCTCGTGCTAGATGGCGCCAAAAGTATGTAGGTTTCTTAAGATAATTATTTAGTACCTGGTCCTCATGGTAGATGGCGCCAAAAGTATGAAGGTTTCTTAAGATAATTATTTAGTACCTGATCCTCATGCTAGATGGCGCCAGAAGTATAAAGGTATCTTAAGGTAATTATTTAGTACTTGGTCCTCGTGCTAGATGGCGACAGAGGTATTAAAAAATCTATTATTTAGTACAGGTAACTACGCTAGATGTCGGTAGGGATATAGAAACAAATATTGTTATATATTATATTTTTCACATATATTGTCATTATATGATCGTAACATAAAACTTGATTTGTTCATAATTTGAATTTTTCAATAGGATAACATAATACGCCAAGAGGTGGCACGTATTAGCGTGCCATCTCTTTGGGTATCGTGTAATACTTATTGAATGCTCGTTTTGCGGGAAAATTTTTGCTTCGTTCATAATTTGAATTTTTTAATAGGAGAGAATAATTTACAAAAAGGTGGCAGGCTATGATTGTACCTTTGTAATATTTAATTATCGTGTCTCGGATGAAATAATTACCTCCATAGAAATTTTGTGAATCATTGAGGAATTACTTCGTAAAATCATTTTCAATTTTCAACTAACGTTTCTCGTTTCTACAGCGAAAAAGAGAGAAATAGAGAGAAATAGAGAGAAATAGAGAAAAATAGAGAGAGATAGATAGAAAGAGAGAGAGAGAGAGAGAGAGAAAGAGAGAGAGAGAGAGAGAATTAGAGAGAGAGTGAAAGAGAGAAAGAGAGAGAAAAGAAGTGGGCGAGAATATTCTGTTAAATTGTATAATTTTTTCATTTCAATCAGGATTTGTTATTTATGGGATTAAAAGAAATCATGCTTTTATAACTTTCTTTTCTTAAATTCACATGTACGTATTCTCGTTATTGCGTAATGAAAAAGTGAGGATACTGAAACGTTTAAAGACATGAAACGATAGCTAGCACGACGAATCGCCATGTGGCAGGATGATCAAACGGGGGTGTAGGAAGAGAGTGAATAAATGGGAGAGAGAAAGATGGGGAAAGAGAGCGAGAGAGGGGGGCGATGAGATCATCTCGTTTCGTTTGGTTTCTCGACCGTTTCCAGGCTGCAGTCAGTACCGGTCCAGCGACCGATTTGCAGGGCTGTTTCTTCTCCGTTCGTATCGTCAAAATAAATCATTGAAAGGAAGAAGAAAGAGAGAGAAAAAAAAAATTGATCGTTTCAGGTACGTACATATATTCGGTCAAAAATATCACTTTTCTTTCTACTTATAATTTTTACAGACAGTGTGTATATGTATATATATATATATGTACGTATAAAATTATTATATATATGTATATATATATACATATATATATATATAGAAATTTTAATTATTATAATTAATTTTTCTTTTTATTGTAATATTAATTAATATGTGTATGTATATATACATATATATATATATATATATACACATAAAAGTTTTAATTATTATAATTAATTTTTCTTTTTATTGTAATATTAATTAATATGTGTATATATATATATATATGTATGTTACAAATGCATCTATATGTGCATTTATTATACATTTTTCTATTATTTTAAAAATGATAATACGAAATTGTTTATATATTCTTAAAAAAAAAAAAAAAAAAAAAAGGAAAAAAGAAAGAAAGAAAACAAAAACGAATGTTTTGCTCTTTGTTTCTCTCTTTCTCTTTCTCTCTCTCTCTCTCTTTCTCTAAATACATCTATCTATCTTTCTCTTTTATTTTCATCGTAATAAAGTAATCATCCATTTTTAAAAGTTATCTCATTCTCGTAGGCGCGAATGTAATCATAACTTCTTGCAAACGGATATTCGACATCCTTCTTAAAAAATCTTTGTCGTTTGATCCAATATAAGTAATATTCGAATTTGGGGAAAAATAATGAAATATTATTTTGTAACGATTATTCTTTGAAATAATTTTATGTGTTTCTCATGTCGTTGCTATTTAAATCGTCTTTTACGTTTTCAATTCTTTCCCCATTTCTTTGAAACATTTCGTAAACTATGTACTATTATTACATTTACGTATGCGGGCATATTGTAGGATTAAAGAACAAAAGAGAATTTCTTTTTGATTTGAATAATAAATAAATAACGATAATATTGTTATGTGTAATAATAAATATTTTAGGAAAAAGCTGGATGTTTTTTGTTTACAAAATTAATTAAAAGAAAGCAACAAAAAAAAAAAAAAAAGAAAAAAGAAAGAATAAAAAAGAAGAAAGAAAGAAAAGAAAGAAAATGCATGCTATTATTTAATATCAATATATGAATTATTATGCAATGGAAATTTTATAGTTAGGTGATTTGATGGAATAGATATTTTGTTTTTTTTTTATTATTTAGTATCAAAGATCTTCACAAAAAACATGAAAAAGATTTGAAATATGTAATCGTGTGTATATATATATATATATATATATATATATATATATATAAATAAATAAATATATATACATATGCACACAACTTTCACGAGAAAAAAAAGTAGCGCCCTTTTCCTCTCTCGTCACCAATTGGCAGTGATATTATTACGCCGGCGCGCATTTATACGAAGTTTGCGTGTCAACTGGCTTCTCCCGATGGTTCTTCGGTCAGAACTCTGGTGTTACTCCGCGAATACTTTTCTGGTGTGTACATACTTACTCACGAACATTCACGAGCTACACGAAACGATTCGTTCAAAACCACCCACGGAATAAGATTATAACATTAACCTACACGTAGGCGGAATAAAACGAAAATGGAGCACGTACGAGTTGCAAATAATTTTACTTTTTTTTTTCTTTGGTACGTTGGCGTTTTATTTAACGAGATTAGGTCAATAGAAATAAGATGAAAGAAAATAGATAAAAGAGTTGACGAGATTCTTTTTACCTAACGCAACCAAATGTTCACAGTGATAGCCTAATCTCCTTTTTGATATATATATATATATATATATATATATATATATATATATTTCTCGAGAAAATGAAACTTTGTATTATGAAAGAGAAGAAAAACAAAAAATAAGAGATGTTCCGCTGAACAATTCATTATCTTTAAGTTATAATATTTTCTTCTCTCTCTCTCTCACTCTCTCTCTCTCTCTCTCTCTCTCTCTCTCTTTCTCTCTCTTCCTCTTTCTCTGTCTCTCTCTCTCTCTCTCCCTCGGTTGTTAATTAAGAAAATGAAAATTTCGCAATCTCTCGAGTACAGTTATCATAAATACCGAAGTATCGTCCTACCTAAAAAGAACATCAAAGGAAGGCAAATAAAGTTTTAAGTTATCATTTAATTAATGTCGAAAGTGTATCATTGAAAAATGTTCAAAGCGATGAAACTGTTTTTTTTTTGTTTAATTCTCCGAGTCCTTTTTCCTTTTTCTTTTTTTTTTTTTTATCAGTTCAAAATATATTTCTAAAATAAAATATTATTATTGTGAAAGAGTAAGTATTGGAAAAATGTTAAAAAGGTCTAATTAATTTTGATCACACAAATCGTATAAATAAAATTCGTTGAAATATCAAATGGATCTACTTTTTTTTTTTTTTTTTTTTCACTTTAGATTAACAGGAAATAATGTTTTATCGAGGCCTTGATTTCTCATTAACTCTTCCCTTGTGATAAACTGAGAGATGACGATACGTAAATAGATCTCGCCTCGTTCTTTCGTAGAAGTTAAAACATATGTATCTATGTACATATATGTATGTACGTATGGAATGAGAAAAAGGCATGTCGTAATAACATGTATGCGAAACAAGGAACGAAAGAGGTCGATCATGAATCTTTTTAAAGTCATATATAACTTTTTCTTATTGGAGACATACGCAAGACGATTATATCCAAGTATTTAGGTTATCGCTTTGTTACTCCTATCAAAAGCCATAAGAGATTTATTATCGTTGATAATATTGACCGAAAGAATGATATTAGATCCTTGAATTCTATCTATTTGAAAGTATCTTTTCGAAAATGATCGTCATAGTAAAAGGCGGTAAATTCAAAAATTCAAATAACGTTTCTAAGTGATTATATTAATTTCATTATTTTCAAAATCTTAATTATAATAAAGCAAAATATATGTTTTTTTTTTTTTATATTATTTACAATCGATATACTTTTAGAATGTTTATACATTAAATTAGATTTTTTTTTTTTTTTACTTTACTTTATACGAAGAAAGAAATAAAGAAAAAATCGCAAACTTTTCAAATGCCTCTCGTAATTGATAATATCAAGATGGCGTTTGAATCATTAATTAATAAAAGTTAATATATTCGATTAATTTCAATCTACTAAATGTATGCGCGCCATTTAATAATAAAACTCATAAACGCACACACTTACTTTAAAGTACGCATTTATCGATCGATCGTTTGTCGCAGGGATCGCAATGCGGACGACGATGCTGCAGCTGCTCTTCCTCGGGCTGCTTTTAGTGGCTCTTGTAACAGACGTGTCTGCAAGACAGGTTGGTAAATCTTAAGTCGACCTATTTCTATATATTTCAATTTAATTAGAAAATATCTTTCGAATATTCGTAAATTATATTCTATCTTTCCAATCATTTTGATCGTTAATTATTGAACAAATTTTTAAATATATACCTAACATATAAATATATAATAAATATCAATATCTCTATCAATGATATCTAGCATCGAAGAAAACATCGAACGACGACAACGACCGAGTCATCTTTTCAAGATGAAGTAATGAACATGTTAGAAGCTGATGAGGTAGCGGAAGATGAGAACAAAGATGCTGAAGTTTCTTTCGAAAATGTTGGAAATGAGCTTGCATCGAAGAAACAACGTTTGATCGAAGTAGATCCTTGTATGAATAAACATTGTGGTGCTGGACGTATTTGTAAGGTCAGTTTAAAAATCGTAGTTAATTAACAATCAGAATAAACGAACATGAGGACTTAGAACAGATGTCTAATATTTTTTAATAATTTCTAGTCAACCAAAGATGGTATCGCCGAATGCGTTTGCATCGAAATTTGCAATCCGGAAATCGATCCACGTCGTAAGGTCTGCACAAATTACAATGAAACTTTTGGAAGCGATTGTGAGGTCTATCAAGCACGTTGTTTCTGTGACACTGGTGATACCAATTGCAGAGGGCCTGATTATAAGCATGTTCATATTGAATACTATGGCGAATGCAAACAAATGCCAGTGAGTATGAACAAAATTCTATATTATATTTATTGTCAATTCATTTTTGATATAATTAAATTCTTATATTAATTATAATTTCGTATGTCTTAAATTTATTAATTGAAGATATAAAATGAACGGTTCTATTCAATTATAAAATCGATTATATATATATATATATGTCCGTAATGCAAAATAAATTTCAATCTTTTGTGTGAATCTCCTTGCTCGTGAATGGCATATTCGGTGTATCGATCTTCTCTTACTCGCATGCATTTCTCGTTGCTACTCAGATGTGTAAGGAAGAAGACATGGCAGATTTCCCAAGGCGTATGCGCGACTGGTTGTTCAACATAATGCGTGACCTAGCCGATCGTCAAGAGTTACCATCGCACTACTTAAAAATGCAACGCGAAGCTGAAACGAACATGACACTGCGTTGGACGAATGCAGCCATTTGGAAGTGGTGTGACCTCGATGGTCATCCACATGATAGGGCAGTTTCCAGACACGAACTTTTCCCTATAAAGGCACCCTTGATGGCCTTAGAACATTGCATAGCACCTTTCTTCGATTCTTGCGATGCCAATAATGATCACTTGATCACTTTGGTTGAGTGGGGTAAATGTTTGCAATTAGATGAGGTAGGTAATAAAAAAAAACTAAGTACTAAATCAGTTAAAAAACTTAATACACGAATTAATTTTATTTTATATACAATAACAATTTTTCATATATATATATATATAGATTTCTCGTCTCACATGATAAATCCAAGTAGTAAATTAATCAATTAAAAGTTATTACAAGATAAAATCCATTTCGGTGTTCCTAATCCCAAACAAATCCCTGCGAGACACTTTGGAAAAGAAAAAAAGAAAGTTTCTTACATTATTCCTATCCGAAGAACTTGGAGAGATTAAAGAAAAATTAAAAGAAAAGTAATAAATGAATGTTATCTATATACAATATATGTGTGTGTATGTATATATATATATGAATAATGATTTAAATAATTTATTAATCATTATTAATTTTATTAATTGTAGAATGACATCGATGAAAAGTGTGATGAACTAGCCGAAGCCAACAGCAATCTACAATAAATAATTCTATATATATATATATATATATATATATATATATATATATATATAATATATATATATATTATATATATATGTAACAGATAATGGCTGTTGTGTTTGTGGACGGATCGAACGACAGGGCTAACGATAAATGAACGAGAAAAGGCTTTTGTATTGGCTACGTGCAGTGATAGCAATAGTAGTAGTGTATTACGATTGGAAGAGAGGGGCTGAAGGGGGAGGAAAATGGCGGGAAAAATTAGAAGCAAGGCTTTGCGTATTCGATAACGCGCATGTCCCATGTAACAGACTCGTCGATATCGTGACCCATCTTGCTACTTGCAATTTTGAACAGTCTCGTTTAATCCTTCGTTGTTATTCCATTGATCGAAACTCGCAGCGGCCAATCGATTTCCTATCGTGCTTAACAAAATTGACAATACTCATTATCGTAATATTTCCAACGAAAGTCTATAACTAATCTGCTTGTTTTATATAATTTTTCTTTCATCCATCGAGTGCAAACTGCAAGACAGTATTTTACTCGTAATTTTCAAACTTTTATTTTTCCTATTAAAATTCGTGTTTATTTGATGAATGTGTATATAAAAATGTATATTTTATAATACGAATACACGTCGGTCCTTCGAATTTGAAACGTCCTTTCTAATACAGCGCCACGGATTGCTTTAGAATTAATTTTATTCGTATTTGAACCAAATCGTGAAATATATGGTATCATTTCCTTTGATTCCCTTTTCATTATTTAATCCTGGTAATATTCTATTTTTTAGAGATTACTTTAATATATATAAATGTATATCCTTGTATATCGAAATATTTTGTGCTACTGCCTTTTTACCTGTCAATAAAAATTCTCATGACATTTTTATTATGTTTATCTTTATCATTATCTTTTATCGTATTTTTTCTATGCAATTAAAAAAATATTTTCTAAAAATATTTTTCTTTAGTTATATATTTTTCAAGAGAAAGAATTTTTAATATAAAAATCTTAGTTTAAGTTCGAACTTCTTTTATCATATCACATAAAAGGATACATTAAAATCTATATTTTTAATATTGTAAATGTATAAACTATTCATTAAAAGTATTTAGTTTAGTTATGAATAGTATAAATTTCATTATTTGTTATAGAAAAATGTGTATACAAAATGTGAGGACCACCAGTTGCGTCCCAACCGCCATAAAAAAGAAAGAAAAAAAGAAAGAAAAATAAAAGAAGAAAAAGAAACAAGATAACACGAAACAAGAGAGAGAGAGAGAGAGAGAGAGAGAGAGAGAGAAAGAATAGAGATTGGAAAGTTCTCGAAGCTTCATGATAAATAAAAAGCGATCCGTTGGCTCGCTGAGTATTCTAAAAGCAAATGAAAGGAAGAAATCACGTGGAATGTACAGTTCAGATTCGAGGAGAAGCATCGAAACGAACGCGTCGCCGTCTTCGCTTTCGTTAACGTGTTTCTCTGGCTCTTACATCCGTAGTACAACATTTGGACGCTTGAGATCGCAACGATCGCATCTATATCGCATTGCTATTGGTTGTAAATGGTCACGTGAGTAGACCGCGGGACGCGGCAGCAGCGCCAAGCGTATTTGGCGGGATCGTGCTTAGACGGCGTCGTCTGTGCTCCCCGCAAGTCTGTCGTGTAGCGAACCGCAAAGGCTCTCCTAGCATAATGGTGAGTAATCCGCGAGTTTTTACCGGATCCTTCAGCCATCCACAATCGATATACATCTCCTCGTGTTCGACGGACTCTCGACCGTTTACTGACGAGGTTTCGTTCTTCTATCGCTCAAATTAATCGTGATTTTCGTCTGTGAACAGGCTGGTGGAAAGGCGGGCAAGGACTCTGGCAAAGCGAAGGCAAAGGCGGTCTCTCGTTCGGCGAGGGCTGGCTTGCAGGTGAGTTCATTATTCAACTAGTCTACGATTTAACGAAAACATACTTTTTTCTATACGTTATTAAAACGTCTAAATTAATATATGATTTTTCTACGTTTTTTCAATTGTTAAATTCAACGGTCTTTACATACTAAACGGTCGTAGTTGGCGCGAAGCAAAACGAATCTTCTATCTTTTATCACTACCAACAAAGGGATGTTTGTTTTCTTATATTTATGAAGTCGCGCTTTTAACGTTTAACTATTTATTCGATTCTACATAATTTATCGTATTCGTTTGACGATAAATGTAAGCGTTAGATGAATTAGAAAGTATTTTATTTCTCGAATTGAATTCTTAACAAAAGTTATGTTTGGTGTGGTCATTTCAAATAAGTCGTCGGATGGGACCGTTTACACTACAACCACCCCCTTTCCAACCCCTTTCGATCTTTCCCCTATCATTCCCCTTTTGATCGCCGGGCCTTTCAATTCATTCGTCCATCTCTGAATATTTTATACTCTTTTTCGAATCGACAATATATCGAAGTGTTCAACGAATAACATTTATGCCTTCATAATATAAATATCTTTTTTGAGAGAGAACATATTCTCTTTTCCTCTCTATTTTATCAAAGAGAATTATTTATTCTCGTGAAATTGTATCTAGAGGATCGACAAATATGCATCATTGACATTCAATCATTTCATTCGTATTTCTTCGTGTTTTGACTTTTGGTTATACACACACACACACATATATGTATATATATATGACGTCATGTGATTCGTAAAAGAAGAATTTCATGAAGTATGACAAAAAAAATAGAGAGTGAGAGAGAGAAAGAGAGAAAGAGAGAGAAAGAGAAAGAGAAATAGAAAATATCGATAGAAAGAAATATTCATTAGTTAAAATGAGGTGTGTGTTACGCGACGTTACGTTATAATAGAATTATTTTTCCACTCTAGAGGTTAATTATTTTTCCACTTTTAGAGGTTAACCAAAAAAGATGGATACTTATGTGTGTGTGTGTATATGTGGCTACGGCGATGAGGAATAAGGTGCTTAAGTTCGTTATTTATTCTGTATAAATGCGAAGGTTTACACGCGCGCACGTGTGTGTCTGTGTGTAAGTGAGAACGTATATGTAACGTATACTCCAAAGTACGTATATGTTTGCTTGCGTGCGTGCGTACGTGCGTGAATACTTGTAGGAAATAAAACGTTGGAAGAGTTTACAGAGACAGCAGAGGGATAAAGTTGTTGATCGTTTATGGAGTATAATCGATGTGTATAATACATTAAAAGGGGAAGAGAATGTAGGGCGTGTTAATAATGTTTCATCGAATGACGAAACGAATCTGTCAGAAAAGCTGGGAAACCTTCGGGAAAGCCGAATCTCTATCGCGTGCCGCTCGATATTCGTCCCGTTTGTGAATGTCTATGTGTGTAGTGTATGGTGTGTGGACCCTGGTCGACGAGAAAGACGAAATGTAGGAGAGAGAGAGAGAGAGAGAGAGAGAGAGAGAGAGAGAGAGAGAGAAGAGAGGGAGAAAATATATCGTGATGATTCTCTCTATCTCTCTCTCTCTCGCTCCACTCCCATATTTTCACAGTAATATTTTCGTATTTACAAAAAAATATTCTTAAATATACTTTCTTATATGTATGTGTGTATATATATATATATATATATATATATATATATATATATATTAGATTCGTTGCATATATGTACAAGTCAAGAAGAGACGCATTAAGTTATTGCGTGCCAAATCGACATAGATGTTTCAAAATTTACTTTAGTCTTTGGTATTAAAAAGATTAGGATAAATTTGCTGTTCATTGTACTATTTAATTCCTTCTTTTCTAACAACAACGGAAAGCTGCTGACGCGTTGTGTCAGAAAGGTCGATGTTATTTCGACGGACAATAGGTTACGCTATATATATATATATATACACGTATATATATGTATATGTATGTGTATATATATACCATTCTAAAAATATTTCTCTCTTTTGTCATCGGAGAATATGATTATGGATTCTTTTTTTTAATTATTCTTTCTTTCTCTTTCTCTCTTTATCATTGATAATTTTGTTAGGTTAGAAAGAGAGAGGGGAAGGAGAGAGAAAGCAGGGAAATGCATGTGTGTTATATATTGTATAGATATATTAACGAGAATGGAAACTATTATTATTATTATTATTATCATTATCTTAAGTTAGTGTATGTTCATTTATTTTGATTTCAGTTTCCTGTAGGTAGAATACATCGACATTTGAAAAACAGGACTACCAGTCATGGTCGGGTTGGTGCAACGGCTGCAGTATACAGCGCAGCTATCTTAGAATATCTGACAGCCGAGGTGAGTTAGACTGGTGCGAAAGAGAAGAGAGATGTTGAGAAGGCGAGGGTCAGAGCTTTTGGTATGTGTTTTGTGTGTATGTGTATGTGTGTGCACGCGCGCTTGTGAACATTTATAAGAGTATATATATGTAATATATATATATATATATATACACATATACATACGTAGCATGACGAGACCAACGTGTGATCGTAGTTAGGAAAGTGGCCGCAAGTGACGCTAATGATGAGCTCACGTGGGGTATTATGGCAGACTTTTCCCGCCATTATTTAGAAAAGAGTATATATGATATATTATGAATTATAGATATTTATTTTTATAAACAAGATACTCGATTTTGAAACACAGTGTATAGTTATTGTGTTGCATAAGTTATCTATTTTAATATTTCATAATTATTTATTTCTTTATTGTATAGGTCTTGGAATTGGCAGGAAATGCGTCTAAAGATTTGAAAGTTAAACGTATAACTCCAAGACATTTGCAACTTGCTATTCGAGGTGACGAAGAACTAGACAGTCTCATTAAAGCTACTATAGCAGGAGGAGGTATGTTATTGTATTCTGATATTGAGTATATACATTATTATAAGATCGTTGATCATTATTGTTTTCTTGTTGCAGGTGTTATTCCACATATCCATAAATCACTGATCGGCAAGAAAGGTTCTCAAAAGCCAGCATAATTTAGTGACGATTGAAGAACTATTTGAGAGATAAGTAGACAAAACAGATGTAAAGTGGCAGTGATTGTTGACAAAGTGTACCTACGTTATTAAACTAAATGGAGAGACTGGAGTGATGATATATATGTATATGGCTACATATATATATGTATACATATATATATTTATATATAAATATAAATGAAACAAATATTGATATAATTTAATATAGATAACGAAGAGATAAAGGAAAGACAAACGTTAAAAGCGTAATTTGACGATTGGGAAGGAATAGGGGATGATTTTGTTGGAGATGAAAATTCCTAGTGTGCATATAACGTGGCGATTAATCGAAGAGCAATGTGTTATAGCATCGCTCGCTCGAAACGATAGCGTTTGTTGCTTCGCCGATAATGTATATTTTAAATGAAAGGTTGAAAACGCTTCATTGTTCACACACACATTTATTTTACATACGTAATTATTATATCTAATTTTGTTTTTCGGCCACCCTTAACTATATTCGCGTTTTTGTTAAACTTTATTCTTTCTTTTCATTTTCTTTCTTTTCTTTTTTTTAAATAATCGACGAACATTTCTCCGTCGTTTGATAATCATTCATTTTCGATAGTGTGTGCGTGTCGAAATTGTCTGAGAAATAGTCATTTCCAATCTCAATAAGATTTCATCGAAGTCACATATTGTGTAATAATAAATCTTACATACACCTAAGTCTTTATAGGTACTATAGTAATTAATGAGAGATTACAGGAGATATATATAACAATTGTCATTAAGAAAGAGAGAGGATTATTATAGTTAGACAAAGACGATCGAAACAAGATTTTAATTTTTCTAAACTATTTATATTTCAAAGAGTCTATTTTGTGTTAATTGCACTATGTGATCATTTTAATGCTTCCGATCTTTAGAATTTGTTTTCAAATTTTTTGGATGATGTATTTTAGTTATTGTGATGATAATTAAAAAATATTTCTAATTGATGTCTTTCAATCTATTAAGCAGTAGAAACATAAGAAATTTGTGAGTATATAATATTACTTATTAACATAATTAATAATGATATTATATAATGTATAATATAAAATATTGTAAGATCGGAAACTTTAGAAATTGATCTCATCGTGAATATAATATTATTTCAGTTGCAGCAAATTCTCAAAAAATATATGGGTGAAAATTTGTATCAAAAATGAAGATTATATAATTAAATGTTTCCTTTTCATTTCAATTACATCCCGGTACTAGGATGAAATCAATATGAGAAGAGAGAAAATCGTTTGATTTTGTGTTTAACATTATTCGTATTATTATTATTATTATTATTATTATTATTATTATTATTATTATTATTATTATTATTATTATTATTATTATTATTATTATTATTTTTATTTTTATTATTATTATTATTATTATATTATAATTATTATTATTATTATTATTATTATTATTATTATTATTATTATTATTATTATTCTGGAAACAAAAATATAATAGAATATGATTTAGTGTAATCTCTATATCTACAGTACCTACCGACGTACGTTGAAAAAGAAGCAGCCATGTAAATCTTCATTAATCATAATAAAGATGAATTTTACTATTAATTGTGTATTTTATACATTTTCAGATATTGCAGAAGAAGATTTCAGTATTGTAGAGTAAGATCGAAGATTAAAAATAAGCTACAAAAGATATATCTACTATTGAAGTTTGATACGACGAATGCTTTATAAAGGATAAGAAGTTTTAGAATAAATAACTCTTGTGTTGAAATTTATTAGTCCATTTAATAATTATATAATTTCAAGCACTCTGTATGCATTATAAATCTTATCTTCATAAAGACTATAATTTTTGTTTTTAAAGAAAATCCGTTGAATAATTTATTTCCTCTTACAAGTACGAAATTTCAATTTTCAAATCTAAATAAAAAAAAGTATTTTTTCTTTATTCATTTAATTTTAGTCAAATCATATCTCTCAACATTTGTATTAAATATTTAATATCATTGAGAACAATTGACTGTGAAAGATTTAAAGAAATTTTAAAGAAGAATCGCTGTTGTAAAGATTTAAAAAAATTCGAAAGAAGAATCACTGCTACGAAGATTTAAAAAAAAAATTGGAAAGGAGAACCACTGGTGAAAGAAGGAAAAAGACGTCAAGTGCTGCCACTGGTGCCGGTCGACAGGGAGCGGTCGAGTGACCAATCCGGTACGTCCTCCCCGCCAATTAATTGGACCAATAGCGTGGCTCGTAGCGGTAGGCGCGCTCTCCCAGTAGCTAAGGGCGATCAGAACCGCGGTCGCCTTTCACGAGTACGGTCGGTTAGCAAATCGTACGGGCCGTGTGTGCCTTGCGAGTAGTAAAAGTTGTGACCCTGGTGCACCGGTCGTACGAAATAACATTCATGAGTTCGTAGAACTCATTTGACAACGTAACTATCATTTACCTTGATTTGATCAAATCAAAAAGATATTTCGAATAAATACACGAAAGGAGAAGAAACGCGCTGTTGCACATTACTCGAATGCCGGCTGTAAATGTCGCGTGAATAGTTACTATATACACATACAACGCGAGCTATACGTTCTCCTTCTTTGGTAATCGTCGCGTATTTTTGTCAATATTTTCTTCGTCATTGTAATTTAATCGTAATATCGTAATAACTATCGGCAATTAATATTCGCGAGTGTATTCGCATTCGAACGAGTATTATATTTTTGTGAGACTTTCGCCTTTGCCGGTTTTCACCTTTTGCAAGCATGATCCTTTCTTTTTCTGCGCGTGTGCTATAACCAGCAAGTGGAAGAGAAAAAGAGATAGGAGTAGGAGGAGGAGGAGGAGGAGGAGGTGAAGGAGGAACAACGTACGCACGCACGAGGGTACCATCCAACGTTTTGGTTTCTTTTTTTTTTTTTTATACCGCAACTCTTTTCTCTCTATTTTCTACTTCAAGAACAATCATCATCGCTGGACTTTCTTCTATTTTAAATCTTCTTTCACGTCAAACTACTGCGACATGATATCACTCGTGTAGCTCCTGTCAGATTCATTGATGATCCTTACTGGAGATTTTTCGAGGATGACGAGAGGACAATCGGAAATATTCGACGTTAGTCAGCGGTGAGTCAAAGTTTGATTTTTCTTTTCTTTTTTTTTTTTCTTTTTTTTTTCTTTTTTTCTTCTTTTTTTTTTTGAATTTACCGCGCAATTTTATTCTACATAAAAACATATAACAACTTGTTACATCGAAAATGATTAATTACATTTTCAGAATACAGCAAATCTTTATCATAGTTACATCAACTTGTTAATAACTTTAAAATTAGCATTATTATGGTATATTATTTATATATTTGTGTGTATATATATATATACATATATATATATATATGTGTAACTTGAGATGCGTAATGGGTTTCAAGAAGCCTAGGTAAGTGTCATGGCGGACACACCGATCATCTTTTATTTTCAACAATAAGGAAATTTTTTATTTGCGCCATTTTTTATTACACTCCTATCCGTAATCCGTATTAATGGTAACAAATCAATTTTTTTTTTTTCGATTTCCATATTTCTTCATTTTAGTTATTATTTCTTCTTTGTTTGTCTTTTCTTTTTTTTCTTTCTCTTTGTTTTTTTTTTCTTTTTTTTTTTTTTGAATCTTTAGCTTTATAGATGGAGTTACGTCATCCATTTTCTCGAATTAACGGTATACATATAACTACACACTAGTTGCTTCGTAGTCCGACGAATTTCTACAACGGATAATGAGAGTATATACGAGAGTATATGCGAAGTTAGATTAAAACTTATATCGATACTCTTATCTTCACAGGATGAAAATCAAATTATATAGGACATTATTTTGTTTAGGTTAATAATAATCGAAATGACCTAAATTATCAAACAATTATTATTATTATTATTATTATTATTTTTTTTTTCTTTTTTTTTTTTTTTTTTTTATATAGATAATCTAAAGTCCATAAAGTTGGATTAAAATTTATATTAATATTTTTATCTTCACATGAATAGAATGAAATTATTTAAGATATTATTCGATTCAGATTAATTTTCAATCGAAATGATTATAATTGTTATTATATTAAATAGAATTATTTTCCTTTATTGTACGGTTATAATCGAATCGTATTTATGTTTATTCGATAAAAACATTCTCTTTCATTTCTTTGTGAATTTTCTTTAGAAACTAGACTATATATCGCAGTGTAAACAATTAAATATTAAAACTTATATGCGAATCATACATATATCGTTTGTTTGTCAAATAGTTCTAGTTGGAGAAAATTTTTCCCTATAGACCATTGTACATAAACCGATATTAAATTATATACATACAATACATAGGTACACAGAATATATACGTATATGTACATATATACATATGTGTATGTGTACGTGTACGTGTATGTGTATGTGTACACACACACGCACACACACACACACACACACACACACACACACACACACAGATATTTTATCGTGAAATCATATCGGCGAAATTGTCAATTCCGATTTTTTGATCACCTTATAAAATAAATTTCTTATTTGAAAGTTGAATTTTCTCTATTTTATTTATTTTTTATTTTTTTTTTTTTAATCGTCTTATTTACTGTCTACTTTCTTCATATTGCAATCAATTTATCTTAACTTGTCCACTTTTATTCGTTCTCAATAATATTTACTTTTCTTAGTAATTTATTTTTTTCCACGGATAAATTTTATGTATATATATATTTCGTATATGTATTTCGTAAAATTTCGTACAAATATCTATATATATATATATTTCTTTTTTTTTTTATTTTCTTTTTTCATTCTTTTTCTTTTCCTTTTCGTGAAATTATAATTTTCTCAGTTAAGTTAGGATAATCATTATAATGTCTTAGTTTGAATATAATTATTATTCAATCCTTTTTTATTATTACTATTTCTATTTTGTTCACACGGTCTTTTTTTTTCTTTTTTCTCTTTTCTTTTCTTTTTCTCTCTTTTCATCGTTATTTGAAGTATCTAAGCTGTAAGAATTCAAGTACATACTCGTTAGATCTGGCAATGTAAAAAAGAAAATTGTCGTCTGCGTAGCTCGTTATGAGACTCTGATGTATATATATGTTTTCCTCTTTAGACTTGTCTTTTTTCTTTCTTTTCTTTTCTTTTCTTTTTTTTTTTCCTTTTTTCTGTCGAATACTCTCAACCGGGATACTCCTGCAGTTCTATCTTCATCTCTCTCTCCCTCTCTCTTTCTCTCTTATTCTATCTATCTATCTATCTATCTATCTATCTATCTCTCATTTTTCCTACTCGAGAAGAGACTCGAACTTGAGCATCAAAAACGTTCAAAACTCTTAACCAAAGAAGAGAAGCGAGCATTCCGCGTAATCTGAATAGCTAGCAGTACTTGGAACGCAAGGTCGGCCAATCGTCAACGTCATCGAGCCTCCGGCAAGCTGCGGTGAAAGTTCCTTCTCTTACATGAACGTGGTATATAGGGTGAGTCAATAAACTATTAGGATATTGTAATAAGAAAATGTCTAAACGTTCATTAATATTCGGTAACACAAAAGAAAACTAATAGCTATTATATCAGATTTAAACATTTTATTTTGTACAGGATTATTTGATAGGAAGGATTGATAGTGGGCTGAAATTATTTTGGACAATTTAAAAAATTAATTGCTCCCCATTTTTTTTTTTGAGACTTTTTAGATTAATTCGTTTGTTCTTTTTTCAGATCGTAAAATTATAAGGGTAGTAAATTTTGGCTCACTATGTATATATATATATATATATATATGTTATTCAGGTATAACGATCGATTATCACCTGGTACATATACATATATATATATGTATATATATATATATATATATATATATATATATATATATATCATATTTTTTATATATCATAATGTTATTTATAATAACTTTATATTTAGTTTAGCAACAATCAATATCGTAGTTAATTGACTTAGTTATTGATTCTCACCCTGTATATGTTCCATGGAACGAGAATGCACGTTTACCAAGCCCACGAAGTTGCCATTCTTAGAACGAAAGTCTTTGGATCTAAGTTATGTATATATGTATGTACGTATGTATGTATGTATGTATGTATGTATGTATGTATGTGTATGCGTTAAGGACTAGATAGGAAAT